AATTATTTAGGAGGAACTCTCAAAATAATTAGACAGGCAGTAAAGTCACTGTGAGATAAAAGAGAGGGACTAAACATAGGGTGCAGGCCTTAACATAATAAGTGGAAGGGAGGTCTTGGTAGGACCTATACCTCCAACATTTTCCACCTTATTGGTCCTAGGTGGTGAAGAGTAACAAACTTAAAGGAGGACAATCTCTCTGCTTAAAGGCTAGTCGCAAGAGGTGGAGAAGGAGAACATTTTTTGGCCCTCTGTCGTGGAAGAAGAATACAGAGAGAAAACGTTGAGAATTATATTTTCTTATATAACAGAGCAAAAGTTGTCCAACATTTCATTACATTTCAAATTGGGGTGTTAAAAAGTGATAAATATAGATGTTAGGAGGATTTTGGTTAACAACCTCAAACACTTGTTTTGCTAAACACCTCTTAACACTTTCATTATTAGCTCCTCTTAGCACTTAGCATCCACTTAAAAAAGTACTACGTACTATCGTTTTTTTAAAGTTAGAATTAGTGTAGTAGTTTCAGTCATGTGCTTTTGCATAACAAAATATTTTAAGCATAAAAACTGGAAGTTGGTTGAAACCGGTGTCCATTTTTTCTAAAGCATTTTTACGTCACAAACATCTCATAAAGTATTTTTTTTATCAAACACTTCTTAAGATCGCTTCTGTTTTTAAGTACTGTGTTATTGTAAAATTATGTACTTTTTTTTATAATGTCTAAAATAAATAAGTTTTCACAATTACAACTGTGAAAACTTAATAAGTATGTGATCCCTGCGCAATAAGCTTGTTAAATAATGTCTTATACTTTTTAGTAAACATTAACACCATATTTCCAATTAAGGTGAACATGTTCTAATGTGTTACATTACTGTTAACACTCAGGGGTTCCATCCTAAAAGGTCAACCTGACAGGAGGAGTAGCCCAAAGTCTTATATAGTGTTTAATTGTTTTATAACTTTCCAGTGTGGGACAAATGCTTAACAATTACCAACATATTAATACTCCGTAGATCTTTGTGAACCTTATGAAAGGAAAGTTGCCTACATTAAGAGTACTAGAGCCTTTTTGATAAATACATGACTTTTGAGTTTGCATGCTAAATAGTATAATAATCAAAATAATTAAGGTTATGGTTAGAAATCCCTTTTAGAGGGTGTGAACACTTAAGGTAGATGTCTAGCTAGCTTCCAATTATTTGTGACCCATGGGATCTGCAATTGCGGGATGAATCGTGGGGGTTGCAGTCCACGTGCTCGCTAGACTCGAGGAATCTTGAGTTCTGCCTATCACTTGAGAATTAATTGAGACTTGAGAATATAAATTATTTATGATTTGGGGATCCTGCAATTGCAGGGCGAGACATGGGGGTTGCGGTGACTCAAGTATTTGCTAGGCTCGAGGAATCTTGAGTTCTACCCATCAGAACTAATTTAAGACTTGTAAACGTACTTGATGAGAATCGTGGGGTTTGCAATTGTGGGTAAGTCGTGAAAGGCTGCGGTGACCCACAAGCTCACTAGACTCGAGGAATCTTGAGTTATACCCACCGCTTGAGGTAAATTTTTAGACTTGTAATATAAATAATATTTGGAGATCTAATTTAGAAATAGATTGTTTTTCACGAAAAAAAATAAGGTTGTGATTATTTCACTGTCTAAAATGTATGAAGTTATTGTAGCTCCATAACCCTCGGGCCCTAACCCCCTCTCCCCCGACAAAGCTGGAGAGAAACAAAGGAGTAAAGACCAAACAAAAAGAAAGGCATAGTCGTGGTGCATTATGGATAAGTCACCATTATTCATTCCGTGTAGCGAGTTATTTGGAAACGTTCTTCAATACCTCTCCCAGGCTCCATTCAACCATTACTCTACTCCAAGTCCCCAACACATGAACTTTCTAAGTTTCAATGTCAGTGCTTCAACGGTATTTAAAGCCACTTGAAAAATATGTGTTTCACGTCCCCTTTTGCACGACATCTCGAACAAATCAATGGAATTCATATTCTTGAAATATGAAAACCTATTACTTCATATATGAGATTATCACATCGGTTATTAAATACTCCATCCGTTCCAAAAAATACTTCCCAGTTTGACTCGACACGCTTATTAGGAAAGTGAGAATACAGTAGAAATGAATGGTTGTAGTTGAAGAAAAAAGTAAATGAACTTTAGTCACACAATACGTTACTTTCCAAAAAGGGAAATGCGATTTTTTTTTGGGACATCCCAAAATGATAATTGAGAAGAATTTTGTGGGAGTAAGTCTAACAATCCATTTTTCACGTTGCCGGTGCACAACTTTGACCGTTAATACATACTCCGTACAATTCTCTATTAGTAAAAATATAAAAAATCATATTTTGAAAGTTTACAGTGTGACACTATTTAATGATAATTTCTAAAAGAATTTTAATACATTAATAAATAAAAAGTAATCAAAATAGAACACACAAATAATGTAAAATTCCAACATGTTTCACTTATTTAAGAACTATGGAGTATTTAGGATAGGGGACATGTTCGTGGCATCTGAGATTTTTACAAGCTTAATTACATTTTCCCCTCATGAATTATTTACAAAATGATTAATATTAGCCATATGTATTGATATGTTTATTACTTTTTTCTTTTTGGAATGTACTTTAATTTTTATTATATATATTTTCCTTTTTGAATTGGTAAACTTTCATTTTAAAAGATCTCAATTACCCTTATCTTTACTATTTTTTCTTCTCTTTCTTGTTTTTTCACTTTCTCTCATACTTTTTTGTTTGCATTATTCATTACCTTTTTTACTTTTCCCTTAAATATTATGTCAATTTTACCTGTAACTAATCCTATCCTTTAGTAAAATTACGTAGTATGTCAAATTTATTGTAGCAAACATGAGGATCGATAATAGCTACTCAGAGGTCGCCCGCCTCTATTTGACGTCTCCACATTTAAATGAGCTTTACCGCATGAAAGTACAAATTACTGTTGCAAAATTCAACAATTATTCAATGGGAAAGTTCCCGAAATAGGACTAAAACAGTTTGAAAATTTCAAAATAGGACTGCCATGTTTTTTATTCCCAAAATAGGAGTATGTACTGTCATGTTTGGAAAATACTGTCATGTTTGAAGTCTGGTACTACCAAAACATGACAGTAATTAGTCCTATTTTGGGAATAAAAACATGACAGTTCTATTTTGGAATTTTCAAACCTTTTTAGTCCTATTTAAGGTAATATTCTCTTATTCAATCAAATTGATGTGAAAAGAGGGAGCTGGGCTATGGGGTAGAGCCGTAGAGGCAAGCATGTGCGTTGTCATGTTCCTAGCTGAGGTGTGGAATAAGTGACAAATGCCAAATAAAAACAAGCCATAACAAGAAAATGCCTAGCCATTTCAAATAAACTGCTTCGATCAATAATTTAACTTTTTTCTCCGTGAAGTCGCTACCCAACTGCCTGCTTTTAATAATTTCCATTGTTTTCTATTTTATCTTGTAAATAATATTTTTATTCATATATAAAAATAGTCATTTTTTTTTGGATTTGCCTCCGATATAGGGAGTATTATTTTAGAAATACCTTTTAAAATTGAAAATCTCCTCTACTGAAATTAATAAACAAGACATCATTACATAAGTGAGACCCAACAGTGGCTATCCATAAACAGAAGCTTATCTTAATGGTCTCCATGCTCCTAACCTCACATGAAAAACCTACAAATTTTCTGCCAAATTCGTGAGATAATTCCCACTTCAAGAGTAAAATATACTCCCTCCGTCCCGGATAGAACTTGACGTTTGCTTTTGACACAGTATTATATGAGCTCAATTAATAGAAGAATAAATGTCTTGCATGCCCTTTGACTTTTGGGGGAATTAATGCTATCCACTCAAATGTAAAAAGTGGGTGAGTAGTGAAGATTAGTTAGTACAATTAATATAAAAGGAATTGCGGAAACGTAAAGGAGTAAATGGGACGTCCCAAAAGGGAAAGTGTAAAGATTTAAATAGGACGGAGAGATTATCAAATATGCAAAAGTAGGACTCGTATCTTGCATGTACTTTGCCACACAGAAATTAATAGTAAAGGACAAGCAACACGATCGATCTGTTTGGCACATGACAGTCCTGTTAAGACATGTGGTTTTCATCCTAAAAGGTCAAACTGATAGGAGGAGTCTCAAAGCTTTAAAAGTCCCCATTTCTATGCCACTAAAGTCACCACCATCTACGGTGCCACCGCCGCCTCCGATGCCACCACCATCTCCAACGGCACCTATCGCCGCCATCTCATCAGTCATCAACACCACCTAACATAGCGCCGCCATCCCTCATTTGTCGAACCAGCGCACTCTCTAGCACCATCGTAGCCTCTTATGGGGAGGCCACTGTAGATGTGGAAAAATTAGTAGAACAAGTGTAATCTTACAATGGGAATGTCATCGTACTGACATACTTGTAAAAATTCAAAAGATGAACTATACTGCCGTCTTGCCGGAGATTTTGGAGAAATCAAATTTAAAAGATGTCGTGGATGAAGAGAGTGTTATATTGCTGGGAAATAAAGAGAAGATGATGAGAGATTAGACTCAAGGTTATGCAAGAAACGAGAAAATAAAGAATGCAAAATAGTTATTATACATATGGTACAATTATAAAGAGAAGTAAAAAAGCAACTGTTCAACAATTTATCAACTCTTATTTACGGAATAAATGAATTAGGACTCATATTTTGAAAATTTTTTATTCCTTTAATCTTAGGACAACTTCTATCAAAAGTAACATGGAGAAAGGGGATGGTATGGTCGAGTGAGAATTTGGAACGGTACTAACTGAAGAGGGCAGTCTATCTGGATTGGACCAAAATATGTGTTGCTATTCCCGCTCATTTAAGCCTCAAGACTTTTTTCAAACATAATAATTATTCTTATGACTATTATACATACAAAACCACTTTTCAGTTCTCATTTCTGTTAAGCCACGAACCTCCACGTCGCCACCCCCACCCCCAAACCCACTCCACCGCGAACAAGGAATCTGTGTCTTTCAAAAACAAAAAAGCATTTTTTATTTCAAAAATACATCAAAGTCTCCAACAAAAAAGTTCAAAAATTTGCGACTCCGTAGCCCGTCGTCTCTCACAGTCGGTCTTTTTCTACTTCCAATCTCTGCAACTTTTTTTGTCTCTTTGAGGAAGAAGACATTTTATCTTTCCGTCAAGTCGTCAACACGTATTCATAGATGCAGACGTAGAACAGTCGTCTCAGTTCACTGAAAACTTCAGACTTACGTACTGGTTGGCTTTTTAGCTTTGAACGTGCAGAGGAATTCAAAATGCATTAAAGTTCTCCACGACGCCATGTGACTCTTCTGACAGTGTTTCACGTTCCTATTCTTCTCCAGCTCGGCTGATCGGTGAATTGGGAGAGGACAGGAATGTCGGCGTCTTCCTCCAGAGGACGAAGTAGCTCCCCTTTTCACCGCCGGAAGCCGTCGAGTCCGTTCTCTTCGTCGTTGTCCTCCTCGTCGTTCATGAACGGACGGCTCATACCTCGATCGTCATCATCATCGAACACCTCGTTCTCTGGATCAGCTGTTGGGTACAATTCCAGATCGATGACAGCGAGTACAAGCCGAAGCGATTCTGCTTATCAAAAAAATTATGGAAATCGTACTCCAGTCCATTATCCGTCCGCGGATGAGCTGCTTGCCGAGCCAGTGGATGCTTCCAGATCGGGAGACAGTATATCGGTGACCGTCCGATTTCGTCCTATGAGGTATGTGCTAGATCTTATTGGATTCAATTAGATCTAATCAGCACTGTTGAGGTTTTCAGTTTTCAATGGCTCGGATTGACGTGAGATACTGCGGTGTGAATTTTGGAATTGTTGAATATATGTGTTTGCAGTGAACGGGAATATCAGAAAGGGGATGAGATCGCTTGGTATCCAGATGGTGAAAAAGTTGTTCGAAATGAATATAATCCAGCCACTGCTTATGCATTTGGTATGTTTTTACGTTTCACTACTGACTTGTTGATTTCAGTGGTTGATCAACCATGTAACTTCCGTCGTTCTGGAATTGACAGACAGTCCAAGTGAATGATCTGCAATGAAATCTGACACCAACATTTTCTTTTGTACTGCTAGATAGAGTATTTGGACCTGATACAAGTACTCAGGAGGTTTATGAAGTAGCTGCTAGACCAGTAGTCAAAGCTGCAATGGAAGGGGTAAATGGTATGTGTATTAATAGGGATGGTGCTTATCGGTATAATGGAAAATTTCAGTGCTGGCACGTACTATCCATCCAAAGATTACTCAAGGGATGGAATATCTAATATCTTTGCTGTTTTCTTTTTTAAGATTACTGACAACAGCAAAGCTTTATGTAGTCGATATTGAGAATGGCCTGTATGTTGTTTGATTAGCCCCATTACTCGGTTCACATTTTCAGCTTAAGGCCTGCTGATTTTGCAGGAACTGTATTCGCTTATGGTGTTACTAGCAGTGGAAAGACACATACTATGCATGTATGTGCTTTGCTAATCACATATTCACGTTTTTGTACATACTTTAGTTGGAGGAGAAGCTATAAACCTAAAATTAGCTGGACAGTCGCACCACTTGCTATTAGTTAATTAGTTAGCATTTTATAAAACGATGCATTTCCAAGCAATGTGAAGGTGCCTAGAAATTATTCCAATTTCATCACACGTGCAAATTTTCATTCTGCTCAATCTCTCTGAATATCCACCCCACATTGAAATGTATGAAATATATTGCCTTCCCCAGTCTCAGAGAGCTTTTTAACACGCTCACTCATTTACTGTCTTAGACACAACCAAGTATTCTTATGCATTTTCATTATTGTCTTCTACAGGGAGATCAAAGTTCTCCAGGTATAATTCCATTGGCGATAAAGGATGTTTTCAGCATTATTCAAGATGTAAGTTCTTGTAATTCACCATTTCTTGAACTGCACTCACCGCCCCACCAAGTTATATATACAGCGTCTCACTCAAAGATGCAATGATACATTGGTGTTGACAGTTGCCATCTACTTATCCACTTTTTTATTTCTCACGCCCCCTTTCTCCACACATAAATGATACTATTTAGATCTTTGCAGATGCACATCTATTCTTGTTTAAAGTATACTTGGATTAATTTCTTAAATTGTTTTCTCTTCAGACTCCAGGAAGCGAATTTTTGCTTCGTGTATCATACCTCGAGATCTATAATGAGGTCAGTTTACTCCATCGGGGAAAAATAAATAATTTTCCATTTGAAGTTGTGGCTTCATGTAAACATAAACCCTTTCTTTCACGTATATAAAATGATTTTACCTTGACAATTTTTGGAATATAAGAACACTTTAGGTTTGTATTCAGTAACTTTTGCTGTTAATTTTTATTCTGAAATTGCATCTTCCTTTGTATAGTTTCTACCCTAGATTTATTAGTCTCCCTATTTATGCTGTTGCTTTCAGGTGATCAATGACTTGCTTGATCCCACCGGGCAGAATCTGCGTGTTAGAGAAGATTCACAGGTTTTTGTCCTATTTGATGTCAATTACATTAGATTATACTATATGTTTAGCTTTTACTATATTTGATATCAATTTTCAGTTTATTTCGTACTCTATATTGCCAGTGTTTCTATATTACTTTTTCTTTCTTGAAATGCTTCGATAACAAGTGGATACCAGCAGTATGTGTTTCACTTGGAGATACACTATCCACTGGGGAGTTGAAATACTCTTCTTTTCTTTTAACCTCCTTTTCCTCTCTTTTCTTTTGCTTGATTGAATATTTGAATGTTTAGGGTACTTATGTTGAGGGTATAAAGGAAGAAGTTGTTTTATCCCCGGGTCATGCACTTTCTTTCATAGCTGCAGGGGAAGGTAATATTTCTTGTAATTTTGCATCCTTAACTAAAATCACTTGAATAGTTCCTCAAATACTGTTTTTCTTTTGCAGAGCACCGTCACGTTGGTTCAAATAATTTTAATTTGTTTAGTAGCCGCAGTCACACAATATTTACATTGGTAGGTGTTTCATTGAAGTCTTTGTGTGCACCACTGCACCAGTTGAACTGGTTTGCTCAATATTATATTAGTTGAACGTACCAAGCAGTCCTGTTTTATTTCCTAATCAATCACATCTAATTTGATGATTTATTACCTTTTAATCTTATAGTATTGTTATTCTCAACTATAATAACAATAACAATTATTATTACTTCTACTAGCACTGTTCATCGTTATTTAGTGTTATTTATCTTTCTAATTTTTTCCCATAATTTGGCATCTTGATTTACTATGGTCTATTTTAACTAGTGAACTATATTATGAGATTTTTCATAGTATATTGCTAAACTATTGATTTTGGTCTTTAGTGCAATTTGTTGCAATCTTTAATATTCTTCATCTCATCTGTTTTTTTACCTGCAGATGATTGAAAGTAGTGCCCATGGAGATGACTATGATGGAGTGATATTTTCCCAACTGGTATCCCATTTTGCATTCACTTGAACAATTAATTACAGCAGTCATTTGCTGACTAGTAACACTTCTGTCTCTGATTTAGAACCTGATTGATTTAGCTGGGTCTGAGAGCTCAAAGACAGAAACAACAGGAGTAAGGAGAAAGGAAGGATCATACATAAACAAAAGTCTTTTAACCCTTGGAACAGTAAGTACTTGGACATTATTTGACATGAAATAATCTCTTATCTTCGGGGCATTGTATCAGAACTTCAGTTATGATGTGACTATTAACGCAAATACAGATTACATATTTACATCATTAGTAAGTAGTGCACACTGCTGTTTACATTTTGTTATTTGTTAAGGGTATATGTCTTTTGAGGCATCCCTTCTCTAAAATTGTTTCAAACTTTACACCAGCTTTGTTGTAGGGTTAATCTTATTCTTCTCTCTCTCGTTCTCTCTATCTCTCTGGCACAACCTTATGCTTGTCTGTTATTGTTAAGGTTATAGGAAAGTTAAGTGAAGGGAAGGCATCACATGTTCCTTATCGAGATTCTAAACTTACTCGCCTGTTGCAGTCTTCATTGAGTGGGCGTGGACATGTTTCAGTAAGCTCTACAATACATTTGATTTGATAAAAACATATTTTTATACTTTCCATTACACTTTGCTATGACATACTGTCCTTTATTGTCCTCTCCCCCCCCCCCCCCCTCTCTAAGCTTGAACATTTTCACATGCTTTAGAAAAGTTCATGGGAGATGAGTATAGTCCCACAAGAAATACTTACACTCTCTCTGGTTTCTTCTCAACTCAGCTCATATGTACAGTTACTCCTGCATCAAGTAATTTGGAGGAAACTCACAATACTTTAAAATTTGCAAGCAGGGCAAAACAAGTTGAAATTTATGCATCTCGTAACAAGGTTTGTAAATTATATTTATAATGTTTTTCAGACGTAGTGAAATTTCTGGTTGAGGAAATCTTAAGGTTTGAATTTGTTTCTGACAGATTATTGATGAAAAATCTTTGATTAAGAAATATCAAAGAGAAATATCATGTCTCAAGCAAGAACTGGATCAGCTAAGAAGCGGAATGCTTGTGGGTGTCAACCACGAAGAAATTGTAACCTTAAAACAGAAGGTACTGTCAAGTCTCAAAGTTGGTCCTTTAGAAGTCTGTGCACACATTAAAATTCATAGTAGACTAACAGCGTGTCTCTGACTCTGTTTGGTGCGACTGTTTCACAGCTGGAAGAAGGACAATATAAAATGCAGTCAAGATTGGAGGAGGAGGAGGAAGCAAAGGCTGCTCTGATGAGCAGAATCCAGAGGCTTACAAAACTAATTCTTGTTTCTTCAAAAAATTCAATTCCAGGCTATTTGGGTGATGTCTCTTCCCATCAAGGAAGCCTACCTGCTTGTGAAGATGATGTATGCCCTCTCCCCCTCTTAATGCGACTAATAAAAGATGCTTTTGGTGGTTTATGCTCCTCTTTTGCTGATCCATTATCTGATCAAATTTTAATATTGGTTCACTAATCTCGAGGATTTAGATTGGTTATTCAAGGCGTAGTCCGTGATATCATTGGCATTTTTACTAATTAATTATTTGAAACTAGGATCACAGCTCACTCTGAGAATACATTTTTTAGATTTTTATCATCCCACACAATGGTTTATTGAAACAATTATACATGCTGAAACCACTATGCGTATATCATGGATATTTCATTTGAAGTTAGTGTCTATGCGACATATTTGCCTTTTGTACTGTCGTGATATTATTGCGTACTGATTTTCTTAATTTTTATATGCCTTCCCCTTTCATCAGAAGTTGGATGCTCTGCGCGAAGGTTCTTTGCTGACAAACAGACTGAGCCAGAATATGCCATCAGGTGCTTCAGTTTTTAAGCACCAAAGATCTTCCAGCAACTGGAATGATGATTTATCACAGGCTGGTAGTACAATTACCGAATCAACTCAAGTGGGTGAACTTATCAGCGGTTCTTCCAGCTCAAAGCAGCCTGCCGTATGTCTCTCCATATTGTTGTTTTCATGTTCAACATCATAAACCATAATCATCATCATCATCATCATTTCCTCAATCTCAACTATGCTTTGGTTGGTTGCATGAAAATTGTAGTATCAGTTCATTAACATGCAGGGCAGTGACGTGAGGTGTAGTGTCTATTAATTGTCTAAAAGTAGTTAATACTCAAAGTTCATGGGTAGTGATGACGTCACAAGAAGTCTTTCCTATAGCAACCTTCTAAAAAACAGAGAGTTGAAATTCTGAAATCATCATTAATCATTATCATAAGTTTTTTCTACTTGCATAGAAAACACATCATGAGATTAAGTTAAGTTGAGATTGTAGTTGGTCATATCCCATTTCAAAATTGATTTCTTAAAACCACCTTGCACATCATGGGACAATGACTGCAAATTTATAGTACTAATTAGTTTTCCAAAATTAGACAACAGTGTAAATTGATGAAATAGTGAAATACAAATAGCAAAGTTTGATTTCACATGCCCTTCTTTACATCATTCTTATGAAAGTTTACTTGATGAAGTTCCAAATCCGTTTTTTTTGGAAGGAAGTTCCAAATCCGTCATTATCATACATTTCTTTTCACTCTTATGGAAGCATTATCTTACAATGATGACTTGAGATGGGCTCTGTAGTCACATCCAATCACAATTTTGATATTACATTATAACATGCATATCCCAAAACCTGTCATCGTCCTACTATTTCAGATAACCACTGCTTCTCCGTTTTTCCCTGGTTGGCTCTATAGGATGAAATTGGTATTTCAGACCAGATGGACCTTTTAGTTGAGCAAGTCAAGATGCTTGCTGGAGATATTGCATTCAGCACCAGTACACTAAAGCGCTTGTTGGACCAGTCTGTAGATGATCCAGAGAGCTTCAAAAGCCAAGTATGTGTTCGTTCTCATATATGAATAAAGATGTATTGTACAATAGTTTGCTTACTTTGTGTGGGGCTTCAGAAAGCAGAAATCTGAATTGCAGTCTACATTGCTATAACATGCAATGCTATGTATGAAGTACACATATCCGTGCAAATATTTACTTATATTTTTAAAAATTCTGGAATGTGTATTCATAAGAATTGACTCAATGTTTTCTGTAGATTCAAACTTTGGAGCGTGATATTCAGGAGAAAAGAACACAAATGAGAATCTTAGAACAGCGAATTGTAGAGAGCGGTGAAACATCAATTGCTAAAGCATCTATCGTTGAGATGCAGCAGGTTATCTGAATTTGTTCACTTCGGTGTGTTTACGTATTTCATATGAATGTATTGTATACTGCGGAGTGTATTTTATCATTATTAGTGATTATTATTTTCTATCCGGCCATCCTGGTAACATTTTTTTGGTATTTAACAACAGACATTGATGAAATTGGTGGCTCAGTGTGGTGAACAGGGTTTTGAGCTTGAGGTTAGTACCAACATGAGATTATTAGTACTCGTGTATCACTAAAACTTTCATACACAATGCTCTTTAAAGTCTAAATTTTGGGCTGCAGATTAAGTCTGCAGATAATCGCATCCTTCAAGAACAGCTGCAGATCAAGGTAACAAAATTGTTTGACTGTCTCCTTTCACAAATTTTCCGCGCTATTGAATGTTAGCTTCTTTTTCTATCGATTTCCTGCTCTCATTAGATTACTGAACGCAATCATTGTTCACTTTTTATTGGCAGTGCTTGGAGAATGCAGAGCTGCAAGAGAAAATCAGTCACCTGGAGCAGCAGTTATCTACACTCAAGAGTGAAAAGTCATCACCCTCTTCTGAACAGTGTGTGCCAGATGAATATGTAGATGAACTGAGAAAGAGAATTCAGATTCAGGTAACCGATAATCTGTAAATATTAAACGTCTTCATCTCCAAGTGCATGTATGGTTCACGGAAATGGCTAGGGAAGGATAATTTTTTTAAAGAATGTTAATGTCTTAAGTTTAGATTTGCTTAGGAAAATGTAAGGGAAAGCGGAATTTGATATGAAGTATCTTTTTCAGGTGTTTAGTTTCTAAATCTTTAAATAGTACTCCGAAGGTATAAGAAATTGATTTTGAACAGATATCTAAAATAAATCTATTGAGTTAAAGCTTTGCATTCTCCCCTTCCCATTTGTCTACAAGTTCTCCTTAAAATTCTCTTTGCTGTTATTTTCCTAGTTCCTATGGAACCAAAGTGTTACTCAAATGTAAGTATCCTGATCAAAACCAATTAAAACCAACGAGAGATCATGACTATTGATGAAACTATCCTGATCAAATGTAAGTATCCTGATCAAAACATATTAAAACCAATTCGGTTGATTTTCACTCTAATCAGGAGATTGAGAATGAGAAATTGAAACTAGAACATGTTCACATTGTGGAGGAGAACACTGGACTTCGTGTACAGAACCAAAAACTGTCTGAGGAGGCGTCTTATGCAAAGGAATTAGCCTCAGCTGCTGCTGTTGAACTTAAAAACATAGCCGGGGAAGTCACCAAGCTTTCATTACAGAACACAAAAATGGACAAAGAATTATCTGCTGCTCGAGAGAAGTTGATGAACTCTAGTAGGAGTTCCAGTGTGCAGACCGGTAATGTTGGGAGTCGCAAGTATACTGAGAGTACAAGAATGGGTCGTAAGGGTTATACATCCGGCCGTGCGAATGAAGTCTTTCATGATGACTTTGACACATGGGACCTGGACCCAGAAGATTTGAAGATGGAATTACAGGCAAGGAAACAGCGAGAGTTTGCTTTGGAGGCTGCCTTGGCTGAGAAGGAGATTATAGAGGATGAGTACCGGAAAAGGGTTGAAGAGGCAAAGAAAAAGGAAGCTGCTTTGGAAAATGATTTAGCTAATATGTGGGTGCTAGTTGCACAGCTGAAGAAAGAAAACGGTACTAGACGAGAGTTGAAGGCTAATGAGAAGCAGAGTGATGCAGTGGACAACAGCATTGTAAACGGCAAGGATCCTGTGTGCTCAGAGCTCCAATCCCGGGATCACCCATCTCCACCGCCTGTCATTCCAAAAGAAGAACCTCTTGTTGCACGCCTTAAGGCATGTTAGTGTCCCTTCACTCATTCCTATCATTCAAACATATTTTTTTGAAACAAGAAATGACCTATTAAATGGGACCCAACTCACCTGAAGAATCATCAAATTATGAGGTAAAAGATTTTGTGTAACAGCAAGTAGTATATTTTTCTGAGCTAGTCTACTATTTGCTTTACTATTTCATAATTATGTTAATGTAAACATTATATGAACAGGCTCGAATGCAAGAGATGAAAGAGTTAGAGCGTAAGCACTCCGTGCAGTCGGGGAATGGGGATTCAAATTCACATGTGTGCAGAGTGTGTTTTGAATCATCTACTGCTGCTATGCTTCTACCTTGCCGTCATTTTTGCCGTGAGTAGATTTCCCTTGTTTTTTGCTTGCTTCATACGTAGTAATTGCTTTCATTTCGGCCCCACCGTCCCATGACTTTACATTACGGACTGATGCAAACTCAACTTTTGCAGTTTGCAAATCTTGCTCCCTTGCCTGTGCCGAGTGTCCAATTTGCCGGGCAAAGATTGTAGATAGAATATTTGCCTATACTTAGAGAGAAGTAAGGACTTCTAGCCAAGCTTGTTAGAATGGAAATACTATCAAATTACATGCTGGATTTTTACTGTAAATTTGTGAACTGATGTAAAGCTTAGCCCCCCACACCCCACCCCGTGTTTCCATGCAGGCCTGCAGGGTCTTCATTAAGTGTGTGCCTTATATTGTCCCATTCTTTGATTGGTTCGACTATGGGCAATGGCAACTCGGCAAGTGTTATGAAGCATTTGTAATATATGTTCATGTACTCTGGTAACTTCAAAATTGGATTGCCAGAGGCTACAAAGAGGACAAAAATGTCAATAGATACGAAATCATTCATTAATGGATATTTCCTCGATTTTGATAATTCTAGCCCTGTCAATGTTACGAGTTCATGACGTACATCGGTACATGACCTGTTTGCTTTTAGTAATACATATATTTTTACGAGTTGATAAATGTGGTTATTCATTGACAAGTCTAACTAACCTTAAATTAGATATTATTCCGTATGTGTATCATTTTTATTCTATTATTATTTATAAATTCGGAAACTATATATTTTTATCGGAAACTATTTATAATATAAAATTATATGAAAATGTTCTTTGTTAAAAGTACTTTCATATAAGCATAAAATTGTTAACTCCCATATTATTATACTAGTAAAAATCATGATTCATTTTCTTTGAAATGGCAATTTTTTTGGGATGGAGGTAGTATGTACTACTCCCTCCGTTGCAAAAAATAATACTACGTATATAGTTTGACTTGACACGCTTATTAAGAAAGTGAGAATAAAGTAAAAATGTATGATTATGGTTGAGTAAGAAAAAAGTAAATGATTCTTAACTACACAAATTTCTTCAAAATAGTAAATGAGAATAATTTTTTGAGGCTAAAATGGTACGTGGGGAGCATTTTATGAGACGAAAGGAGTAGTACATGATAGTTGTAATAATTATGTAACAAAGTCTGTAGTCTAACATTTATGATAGTTGTATTAACTTTTTATAGGATGATTCGGTATTTTCTGTAATTATAGTTGTGCACATAAAATTTAATTTTATTGTACATTTGTACATAAAACAATCTTGCCGGAGGACATGAAGATATATGTACATAAAACAATCTTGCCGGAGGACATGAAGATATATGTACATTTGTAATTATAACTTTTTTTTTATGTACATGCATTATACCACAGAGTTGTTTACTATTTTACTCGACCAATAGGAATTTACATAAGATAGTGACAAAACTTTAATTTATACTGTTCGTACTTGAGAAGTAGTTAAACAAATTACTCGTATAGTCGTATACAGGGAAGGATAATCCTGAGTCCTGACAACAAGAAAAAAATTGATAAAAGAAATGAAATTGTGAAGATTACGTTATGAACATTGAACAACTAATAAATAGGGATGGCAACGGGGCGGTTCGGGGACGGTTTTACATATAATCGTATCCGCCCCGTTGGGTAATTCTCCCGCCCCGTAACCGCCCCATTACCCAACGGGTAATATTTATCCAAACCATAACCGCCCCAACGGGTAACGGGTATAACCGCGGGTAACCACGGGTAATCGGTTTATAAAATGAGTCATTAATATTTTCATATAAAAATAATTTTTATAAGGCAAAAAATGGCATCGCATAGACAACTCTAGACTCATACTCCACTTTAAAGTTTCGTATATCTACAAGACAAAAAAGAAGGCAACCTAAATTAATTTGAACCTAAAAATAATCAATATGAAAAATGTTAATTACGAAAAAGTTCTGATAATAATTAAACAGGACTATTAAGATCTATTATGAACTTTCATTCACACTATAGTTACTCATCAATTATTCATATATACACAATGAAAATAGAAAAATCTTATCTTTTAGTAGTTGTGGAACAAATAATAGATAAAAATGTACTAAAAATATAGCCAAAAAGAAACGGGGCGGGTAATGGGGCAGGCATGTATAAAACCGTAACCGCCCCGTTACCCGTAAAATCAAAACGGGTATTCCCCGCCCCATACCCATTACCCAGTCAATGCAGTTTTTCCCGTTTTGACCGGGGCGGTTCGGTGCGGGTATCCATCGGATCAATCACAATTGCCATCTCTATTAATAAAGTGTAGTTGGGTGACTTGGGTCTGTTGGGCAGTGGTTTGCTGTACAGTGTACAAAGTGAGCAGCAGCTATGATAAAGATAAAAGAATTAAAAAAATCACGTGCTTGTTTTTCTTTTTTTGGTATGTCCTCCAAAATGCACACTTTGTTTTAAAATAGAAATTTGTGGGTGTTGTTATTCGAGATTATTCCAAATAAATCTGAAGAATTTTTTTTTATATACATCAGTACACCTTCATGTCTGTGAGAGTTTTTTTTTGTCTGTGAATAGCAGTTCACAGACAAAAAACTGACTTGTTTTGTCTATAGAATTTTTCACAGACAAAACAAGCTGGTTTTGTCTGTGAGCTGATGTTCACGGACAAAGAAAACTTCACACAGACACAAATAAGTGACACAAATGTGTATAAGAAAGTGTACACAAATTTTTGAAATCTGAAATGCGTGACTTTTACTTTCAGAGTAAAGTTGCTAAGTTACGAAATTAAAAGGAAGAAAGAAATTTTAATCTCATTGGCAACAAATAAGTGACCGACAACACCCGTAAAGCACTGAAGAAGTATGTTAATTTAGTAATTTTTGTGATTGTTATATCATGAATTCTCTTGTTGCAGAGCATCTCCAATGCTAATACGTTTACGGTGCATATGTGGTATGAGCGATAGTCAATCCAAAAACAATAAATAAAATCTCTCTCCTTATTTGAAAGATCTTATATCATTTTGGTAAGTTTTTCTTCACAATGTCAAGCACAATGTCTAGACGGAGGGACTCCGCGCGCCTCCATATGTGCTGGGCGCACCGATCTTTGCTCATTAATGGACTAATTTGTCCACTTATTTGCTGGGCGCACCTCTTAATTTAATCGTACATCTCTTAGCTTTTAATCCGTATTTGTTAGATGTTAGCAGTGTTCTAAAAGGTCCAAAAAGGCTTCGCCTAGGCGGGCCTAGGCTTGAGGCGGCACTCAAACGCCTCGCCTAGCCATAAGGCGCGGACTAAGGCGGCCCAAATAATTCGAGCTTCAGTTGTTAACGACTCGTACAGCCCAAGTAATATATAGAGTTCCAAAGAGTGGAATCCATCAATCCCACCGGTGTGGGATATTTGAATGGTGAAGTTGAAAAGGGATTGGATAGTACTCGATTCCATGTTTCGTATAAACAAAGCCAAAAAATTAAAGGAGGAGGAGTTTCGAACCCGGGTGGATTGGGTATCGGGGAACAAACTCTCCAAATCAGCTGCAACTCACATTTGAAATAGTTGAACTTTTGGTATTCTTATAATAATATACGTAGTAATGTAGTATGCTAAACAATTCTAAGTGTATCATACTTTCTATTATTATTATTATTATTATTATTATTATTAATATTACTATTATTATTATATTATAATTTTTATATTATCATTATTGTATTGTTATTATATCATTATTACTATTAGATTATTATTATTCTCAATATTAGTACTATTGTTGTTAGAATTCTTTTTATTATTGTTATTATCATTATTGTATTTTATTGTTGTCATTACCAACATCCTTAACATTGTCATTTCTAATAGATGTTTTTCTAAAAAGTTATGGTAATAAAATGTGTGGACGAAAAATATGATTAAAGTGAATGTAAATATATTCTTTATTCTCTACAATGAAAAGTTTGAATATAATAATAATCACTAAAAGTTACGGAGTACTAAGTAACATTTTCACCTATTGTCCTTATTTTGATAATATATTAGAATTATTTCTTTTTATTAATATTAATATTTTACCGTTAACTAAACTACTTTTTCGGTTCTAGTTTATGTGTAATTGATAAATTTATACTCCGCATTTGTTAGATTTAGTACTCGATAAATATTTTTTGTTGAAAATGAGAAAAGTATGATGTTTTTAAATAACATTATTTAATTCAAAATAAAATATTTAAAATAGCTTTAGAAAAACTAAAATAAATGATAAAAAATCAAAACGCCTTTTCACGCCTAAGCCCCGCCTAATCCCGCCTAGGCTCCAAAGGCTTAAGGCTTGGCCGTGCCGCCTCGACACGCCTTACGCCTTTTAGAACATTGGATGTTAGACATGATTATCACTCTTTATTTGACAACATTATTAAATTGGTTTTTTTTAACGTTCCTCTATTTATTGACACAACTATCTTTTTAAAAAGAAAAGAATTTTTTTAAAACATAATTAAACCCTAAGGATGTTTTTACTGGTCTGGTCTGGTCTGGTAATGTCTGGTCTCTTTATATTTTTATTACTATTCAAGTCTGGTCTGACCTGGTTTGGTCTGGTCTGATATAAGACCGAATACAGCCCAAGTAAAAACAACCTAATATAATCAAAATTACAATTCCTAACTATCATCAAACAATTACTACTCCCTTTGTTCCATTAGACGGTTTTCATTTTTTTGGACGTCTCATAATTCATAGTACGTATAAGATTTTCATTTTCATTTTAGAAAACAATTGACACTCGTAAATGACAAATTAATCATTAAATATTAAAAAATAATACAATATATAACACGCTTAAATGACCTCATTATATTATATACTCATTAAAACTATATCTCGAAATATATTCGAATTATCTGATTTAACTATTGTCTATATAACTGTGTCATTTTACATCGAGAACATTTAAGGTAGTATGTATAGGGGGCGGATCAAATAAGACACATTGAATAGAGTCAATACACATATTTTGGATCAGTTTGGATCAGACTAAGCTAAATCATACTTAAATAGATTAGACCAAATCAGATTTAAACATTTCAATCAAATTAAAAACGTCCTTATTGGTGATATAATCATATAATTATAAATTAATACTACATATCTCATAATAAATTAACTTCTCTCAAATTAATATGTATCCTTCAAATTTCAATTGTGATCATCCTATAAAATAATGTTTCTCGATATTAATATATAAGGTCACACTCTTCAATTATGACTACTAAAAAGAAATTATACATGTAATGTACATCCGTTCCATATGATATAGTGTAATGGAATATCATAGAATATTATTGATTTTAATCGGACATTTTTATGTAAAAAATTAGAGCAAAAATTTAAAAAGTTACGGTTTTGTATAAAATTAATTAATAATCTGCCACATCGCACCAAATTAATGGACGGAGAGAAATTGTGAAAGAATTTAAAATGGTTAGTGGGTGGTTCCAAACTACTACGGATAACTAGCAATTTCAATAAAAATTTAAAAGGGTCAAATTTGTCCATTGAGAGTTACATAAAGTAATATAGAGGGTGCGCCTAGCAACATCCATTCTAGATGTAGACATTATGGTTGACACTGAAGAGCAAAATTTATCAAAAACACAAAAGACCGTGGAAAGACGAAGGGAGAAATGTCATAAAATCAATATTTTTGTGTTTATCTTTCTCATGTCACTGTGCAGCGTGCACATTCTCTCATGTCACATATCACATGTGCAGCATACACATTGTAGCATTAGAGATGCTCTAATATCTTTGAAAAATTTAAACACTATATTAGGAACTTGGGCTACTCCTTATAGCAGCTTAATCTTTTAAAATGGAAAACTGTAAATCTTAACAAATTCATTCTTTCTATCAGATTGAAACCCCGACTCCCCGAGATTTTAACAAATTCATAAACTCGGCTACTCGGAAATCGGAATATTCTGATTAAGATTAACTCGATGAGACTATGATCACAACTCATTTGATCGACGGAGTATGATTTGCTTTTTCTCTGTTGTGTTTTAGGATCTATTTGATAATGTCCTTTAGGGGTGAATCCTTTATACGGAGTATATGAATTGTCGAGGGTCATGTTATTATGAGCATGAAGTCACATTGTCATAAACTTTTATACTCCTTATTACTCCCTTCGTCCCTCAATTAAGTTCTCACTTTCCTTTTCGAGCAGTCCCTAAATTAAGTTCACACTTCAATGATTTCCTTATTTGGCAAATAATCTACATTAAAACAGTGCCAAACAGTGTCCAAACAGTGTCAAACAATGTTTAAACAGTGCAAAACAGTGCACTCCACAGTAAAGTCAAATTTATTTTCTTAATATGCGTGAAGTCAAACTAGGAATTTAATTGGGGGACGGAGGGAGTACTAAACATGAATATGATTATATTAACAATATAATCATCGTGAAATCACATTAGTATTTCCCAAACATATTTGTAATTCGTCATATGTAGGGAAAAATAATAATACCCATATTTTGAAATTTCACGTTGTTTTCATTCGTATACATGCAATTTATTCTTATACTTTCTCTGTCTCATTTTGGTTGTCTTACTTTTGTTTTTAGGTTGTCCCAAAATGAATGACATTTTTCTCTTTTTGCTAAAAAATTTGCGGTTCATATCATTTCACTTCGTTCTACTCAAATCTCAACAACAACTTTTACTTTTAAATCACTCTATTAATAATCGTGTCAAATTGAAACGAGACAACTATTATGAGACGGAGGTAGTATTGCCTTAAATATGAGTAAATACTTTCATGTTATAACACTACCAAACTTTAAATATGATACTACCTCCGTCCCATATTTATCTTCATAGTTCGGTTTACGATGCTTGACTGACGATAAAGCAACTCGATCCCTGTTCACACTCGGATTATTTTTAGTAAATAAAATTTACATATTCAGAAACTACATTAAAACCGCTACAAAGCCTGATCAAGAAAATTTAAGTTTGACAAAAATTTGATATATAAAGTAAAAGATTAAGAGTAATTTGAGTTGACCATGTGAATAGTAACTATGAAGATAATTTTGGGACGGAGGGAGTAATATTTTTCAATCTTGACCGTAACTACTTCTAGATATTCAGGATTCTTACCTTTTTAGTCATGTTGTTTGAAATTTTCCTTTATTTAACATGGTCACCACACAAAACAAACTGGCGAAACACATACCTTTCCATTATCAATACAAAGTACAAGTTGTGAGTGAGTGTTGTCCAGTGGTAAATGGGGAAGGGCCACTCGGTCTACTTTCGCCCCTACAAGTCGCATTGATTCCGATCGACCAAAGTTTGGTTGATAGCTGGATATGTTTTTGCAAAGGTTAGGAGGAAAAAGTCATAAAACGAAAAAGGGCGAATGAGTTGTTATATGACCTTCAATTCGGAGAAGGCCAAAACTCCTGGACAAAAAATTGTTGAGCAGTTTTTTGGAATATAACTCACTCAAAAGCAGATATATTTTAGAATAGTTAATACTACGTATGTATAACTGATCATGTACTCCCCCTTTTCAATCTTTTATTTAATCGCTTATTTTTTGAAAAATAATTCACTCAAAAGACACCTTTATGAGGTGTGCAATACTCTTAAAGCATAAAAAATGTTCACCTTATCAAACCCCTACACAAACTTTTTAAAGTATGTCATCGTGAAACCTCTATTGAGAATTTATGGTAACGGCCATTTGTATAGAAAAATGCTCCTTGTACATGTCAACTTACACGCCAAATGTTTTATGTCTATGCACCACAATTTATTTTTAGTTTAGTAAAAGGATATGTCGGTAATCGCTAAAAGTGAATTGTCTATGCTACAAATAATAAAATTTGTATGTTTGCAGACAAAAAGTGACGTGATGTTAGCTCGCATTTTGATATCTGATTCAATGTTAGAAAAATTGCACGCACACAAGTATGAACGTAATGAGACTTTTCTGGTTTGAACCATTTCTCGTTATAACCTAGAAATGAATGGTGCGAAATTTCATTTTTGGAACATAAACTTCATATTTGTCAATTTTCATTATTAGGTTGCTTTCATGTTCTTAATCTTGACACCAAAAACTTAACACTCTTATACTTTTCACGGACATTCGGTTATACTATCGTATATAGGAGTAAATAACGTAAACTCCCTCCTTTGTCATATGGTCGAGAAAGGAGTGGCAATTACGGAGTAACATTTTACACAATTACGCTATACTAAGTCGGAGTATCTTTAACTCATCTTTCTTTTCGACCTCAAATTAATTTCAACTACACAACTTTCATGTTTTTGTTATTTATACCACTTGCTGATCGGCTCACGTCTGGTAATAATATGATCGAGTAGTAATAACATAAAAAGGTTAAAAGACAAAAAGAAGTACTGCATAGTATATAAATTAGCAAATTAAATGGCCGGGTGTGGTGTAGCATTATATTGTTACAAACTTTAAACTTACAACACCGCGCGTAGGTATATGGTGCAAAAAATGTGCTATTGCCTATTGCACTGCTAGCTCACAACGTACATTGGCTCCTGATTTGGAGTAAAATTAAGCACAGTCCAAATTGCGGGGGGGGGGGGATTGTGGAAACCGGAGAGGCTGGCGGGGACCTCGGCCCCACAAGAAAAAAATTCTTATGTATATATGTATGTATAATAATAATAATAATAAGCACTAAAAAATGTAGTGAAATTCTAAGTTTTGGTTCCTTCAAAATAAATTCTTTAAGCCGGCCTCTCTAACCTGTCATTTCTGGCTCCGCCAATGTTTGGGATGCTACACCTTAAAGAGAGTGCCTTGCGCTCACCAATGAAAAAGATCGAAAGGAGGATATTAAGATTCGCGAAAAAAGTAAACTCCTTCGATCATTTTCTACAATTGGTTTTTTATTGTCAAAGCAAGCTAGACAGAGACGTCGGATCCATTACGGAACCTTTAACCGCTCTTGGACTTGTAGGAACTGATCTAGACTTACAGTTCAAGTGAGCTGATTAGTGATTATACACTTGAAGAAAGTGGAACACTTCATATTGGAAAAACGAAAATGTTCACACTAACAAAAAATAAAGAAAAAATTACTACCTCCGTCCCATATTTATCTTCATAGTTCGGTTTACGATGCTTGACTGACGATAAAGCAACTCGATCCCTGTTCACACTCGGATTATTTTTAGTAAATAAAATTTACATATTCAGAAACTACATTAAAACCGCTACAAAGCCTGATCAAGAAAATTTAAGTTTGACAAAAATTTGATATATAAAGTAAAAGATTAAGAGTAATTTGAGTTGACCATGTGAATAGTAACTATGAAGATAATTTTGGGACGGAGGGAGTACATTACATCATAGTGCATCCCATCATAGTGCATGCATCATATGATTGAAGATGGAAATCTGGAATGAATCTTGTAGATGGAATTGCTACCACCTTAATTGTGTCGCTGTCCAAAAAAGCATTTAATGATGACAACCCATGCCTCTTGTGATTCTTGACGTACTTGCATGATATTACCTTAATTAAATTTGCAGTTAGCCCATCAACTCTGCATTACAATACCGCCGGCCAATTTTCAATAAATGTAAGAAAAAACCATTCGTTGTATAGGTTAAAGTCCCACACTCGATATCTTTGGAAAAATTAAACACTACTATATTAAGATTTGAGCTACTCTTACTATCAAATTGACCTTTTAATTAAGATAAAATCTCGAATCTTAATAGTAAAAAACGATGACACCTCATTCTTGATGAACGATGGTCCACATAACCAATGGAACAGTAATCTATGAGAATATAAGTTGAATAACACACTCTGATGAAAAGAAAATGTGATTCCATCTCAAGTCATTACTAGCTTGGAGTTGAAACTCAGATCTCTCCCTTGTGACACTCACTCCTTATCAGGTGAGCTACGCGCCTACGCCCCCAATATCCCATTTGTATACATATTTATACATTTGTATACTCTCTAGTCATTTGTATACAATGATTCCATCCTCATTAAAAGATTTACTTCCTCCGTTCTGAAATAAGTGTAACGGTCAACATTTAATACTTATCGAGACACAACTTTGACCATTAATATATATAATTCTTTATTAGTAAAAAATTATTAAAAAATGGATTTTGAATTTTTACAATGAGACAAATTGAACAATATTTTTTCAAGAAAATATATTACTCCGTAATATATTATTTAATTAAATGTAGTCAAAGTAGAACATATGAATAGTGTAAAATTCAACATGTTGCATTTATTTAAGAACGGAGGTAGTACATTTTTTTAAAATTATGTACGGAGTATAAAATTACTGACATGAAAGAAATGACATGTATGGGATGTACACGGAGAACGACTCTAACTTTGAAACGAAAAAGATCACATACTTTATTAAGACTAGTTTTCAAGCCCGTGCGATACACTGGCAGTATGTAATTTAGCTAATTTGAAATTTAATTTCTTTCAGATCACATATAATGTGATTTAAAAGAAAAAAACTTAGTCTAATATAGAGTCTGTTTGATAATACTAAAATAAATAGAATTAACTTATTTTATTGAAATTGATTGAATTCTGGTTAAATAGGTGGAATCTCCTGAATCATGAAAAATATATGTGAAATATATTCCATCTGTGAAACAAAGAAAAAAATATATGAAAAAAAGTTAAATTTGTCTTCTAGCAGTAAACATAATTGTTATGAACCCAATATTAAAAAAATTCTCTATTTCTTAATTGTTAGATCTTACATTTTACTCATTAATAAGGACATTTTTATTTGAATTAAAATTTCGGGTTTCGTTTGATATTTATTAATATGGTCTAGTAGATGTCTGTTTTTTATGTGACTTATTATTATAATTATTATGATTATTAAAGTTTGATCTAATCTGATTTAATCTGAAACTAAAATCAATCTAATGAAAAACATTCTATTAAAATAAAAGTATGAATTTGTAAACATATCAATATTTTCTAATTTGGATTAGGAATCTATTTCAAAGTATGAATTTGTAAACTTATTTGGCTAGTAGGCTAAACGTATTTACTTGTGAAAATATATATACTTTATGTTGGTTATAATTTTTAATTTCATTTCTAATTATTTATTTATTTGAAGCTTACTAATTTATTAATAGGTGTCAAATTAATAAGTAAACTAATTTGTATATTTGTTTCTATTTAATTCCTTTTAGTAAACTTATGTAAATTAGTTTCCATACCGATAAACGTTATTAGAATTTCTCTTTGATAACCAAAAATTATTTTACTTATTTAAAGCTTACCAAATTAATTAAGGTGGATTTCTAAGGATTGTTGTTTCCATATCAATATGCAATCAAAAATAGAATCTAATAAAAACAAAAGGTATAAAAAATAATTAAATAATTGTTATATATAATGACATGGCAGGATTATGTGGTGCATTGTATGGTCTTAAAAAGTTCCTCTTTTATATACTTTCTCCGTCTCAAAATGGTTGGCCAAATTTCCTTTTTTGGCCGTCCCAAAAAGGTTGACCATTTCCATTTAAAGTAAGCAATATATGGCTAAAATTAATTCTCTCTTCTCTGCCCAAATTTCAACCACACATTTTTTTCTTTATTAATCCACGTGTAAGTCAACATTGGCCATCCATTTTGGGACGGAGAAAGTATATATATATATATATATATATATATATATATATATATATATATATATATATATATATATATATATATATATATATATATTGATTTGAAGCTTATCACGCGTTTAACGCTCCCGTATCTACATGCAACGTACGTAGTACGAAATAACAGACTATAAGTAATAAGTTGTACTAGTATCATACACACTCCCAATTTTTGTTTGCAGTTATGCGAAGTAGTTTTTTCACTAATACTACGTATAAAAAAAAGTATGCATGATTATTGATGAGTAAGGCTGTAAAAAAGTGTAAAATTATGAGAGAATATGAAATACTTGTACACATTTTTGTAAAAATTGATAATTAAGGTGGTGCTACTCGTACACATAACTTGTACACATTTTTGTATATAATCTTTAGTTGTTTGTGCACACGGTAGTTTCTGAAGTACTGTGTACAATGTACAAATAACTTCCCCGAATAAACTATATACCTTTCTAATACGAAGTAGGTTGCTATCATATTTTGGTTGAGGGGTCAACCTAATTTTTTTTGGTTGAGGGGTCAACCTAATTAAGATAAACTACATACCTTTCTAATAGGTTGCTATCAAGTTTTGGTTGAGGGGTCAACCTAATTAATGATTTGTCAATATGATACTCCGTATTACATATAATGATTATGTCAATCATTAAATATTTGTTTGGGGGTACACACCTATGACCTGTTAGGAATTCACACGTTCATCCTTTTAGGTTTGTCAAAATGTTTAACATAATACTCCGTATGTTTTATTTGTACGTAGTATAATTTGTCAAAATGTTTAACATAATACTCCGTATGTTTTATTTGTACGTAATACTACGTATAATTTTCTCTTTTACACTCGTAATTCAGATACTTTTGCTATCAACTCACATGCGGAGTATGACATTATTTGTTGGATAAATTCAATTTTAGTTTTGCTTTTAGTAACCTCTTCTCTCACCTATTGAATGATGTCAAATAATCTCGTGCTTAATTTTGTTCCCCAAGCAAATTTATTAAAATTTTATATATTATCCTCCGTCTCTTTTTAATCACAACATGCTGAATTTTATACGTGAAGTATATATATACTCGGTACGTATTTACGATTCTGGGGTCCGACTTACTCTTAATTTAAGAGGTTTTCCTTAAAAATATATGAATAAAAATGTAAATTAGTAACTATTAGTTATTGTAATTGTATCCAAAATATACATTATAGGTTCATAGTGATTACAGTATTCATTACGATGTAAATTTTAAACACAAATATAATCATTTACATTTATTAAATTATACGAAGTATTTTTTTCACCACTTTTGCAAGGATAGTATTAGTAAAAAAATCTCAATTTAATTCGTTAGTTATTACAAGCCTTTATTGACGCTATTTCCACTAAAAATGACTATGGAATCATATAAACATTGCTTCACTTGTTTGGATTTGGTCAACACGCGCATTATATATAGGAGTATGATGAAATTATATAAAAACGATTTCTAACGGTCCAGTGTTTTATGTCATAAGTTTTGTATCTTTTGTACTCCTTCCGTAACTTTAAAATCTTCCCATTTCAAAAGTAGGTAGATTAAGAATAGTGAAAGATGATATGAATCATTGAGGGTATGATGGGAAAATGGTGGAATAATGTGGTGGAATGTAGGATAAATCCAAAAAAAGTAGTTGTAATAGTGTATTATTGTAAGAATTATTGAGGGTATGATGGGAAGATTTACAATTGGGAAGATTTTTTTGTTACGGGCGAAAAAGGAAAGTGGGAAGATTTTTAAGATACGGAGGGAGTACATGTTAGGTATGAGATGACTTACCAAAAGAGGTCAAAATTGAAAATTCTTCCACCAAAAAATGCAATTAGGACCTACGTAGTATAGGCTACAAAAAAATTACGGGATTAACAAGAATTTGCACGGATTTATCCATAATTTCATGTCAAATAGCTCGTGACAAGCTGTTTTTGGCATCAGTTTGGCATATATCTGTCAAAATCCTAGCAGCTTTGGGAAATCCTGCCAAACCTAAGACTATATTTATTGTGATATGTTTTGAATTATACTTGAAATTTTCTGGCTCAGATTTGGTGATTTTCTAAAATTTGATTGAATGAATGTCTGGTCTATATATGTATTTTATATTTAACGAGGTTGAGGATGTATTTACTTGGACTGTAATTTGCCCCAGACCAGACCAGATCAGACCAGACCAGTCCAGACCAGACCAGTCCAGACCAGACCAGACCAGTTCAGACCAGACCAGACCAGACCAGACCAGCAAATTACAGTCCAAGTAAAAACATCCTTAGTGTGATTTAATCTATTTAAGTCCGATTTGGTCTAAACTGGTATACTTTTTATTTAAGTCGAATTTAGTTTGATACCAAATTAGTCAAGTAAAAACATGTGCAGGAAAGAAGCAAATTAATTAAGTCTTACAGAATTCATATTCAAGAAAATCTTGAACGTGCCATCCGGGGATAGCCTCAAGCAGGTACTCCGATATGCTACTACCTCCGCCGGAAACCACCGATCCCTCGCCGCTTTGATCCACCTCCGACACAACCACATCCGACGCTGACGATCTCGTAGCAGCGTCCGGGTGATCTCCGGTGGTCGCCGGAGATGCATTAGAAGCAGAGAGCTTGATTCCGGTCAAAAGAAACCGGCTGTGTTTCTGGGTTCGCTCATTGGCGGTGTGGATACGCAGATCACAGCCGCCGCAGAGGATTGCCCGCTCTTCTCTGCAGAACAGCAATGCCCGTTTGTCCTTGCAAATGTCGCAGACCTGCTGCGACGGAGGACGGAGGTGGTGGGCGTGGTAGAGAAGGGTGAAGCGGTGGTGTTTTCCGGCGAGGATATTAGCTTCGTGAACGTGGCCGTCGCAGGCTTGGCAAAGGGCGGCTTCGTCCGCCGAGCAGAAGAAAGTTGCCTCTTCCTTCTCACAAACGTCGCACTGAATCTTCATCTATTTCTTGTTCTGAGAAGAAGGAATTTTTTTTATCTTCTCCTTTAAGATTTTCTTCTTTGCTATGATGACACTTTTCTTTTCTTTTCGTAGTCCTATTTTCGTCAGAAACTCGTTTTTACCATTTTAGTTTGGTACCAAAATGTTGGTGTTTCCATCCGTCTCACTTGCTATTTATCCGCTTCTTTGAAGTACAGAGTGCTACTTATCCTGTTTTAGTTTGCAATATTAAAATGAAGTTCTCCATCAAATATTTGATCTTAAATTTAGGGGATTACACGTAGTATTAGGTACTTATATAAATAAAATAATAATAAAAAAGGTACCTATATAAATAATTGTTTTATGAGACCTATGGAGTATAGTTCACTCCTATTTACTACTCCCTCCGTCCCTAAATGTTGTTCCAATTGCGGATTACGAAGGTTGACCGACGATAAAGTTAAATGATCCCTGTGAAAACTAGAATTATTTTTAGTAAATAAAATTTACATATTCGGAAACTACATTAAACCCGCTACAAAGCCTGCAAAAAATAATTCAATTTTTATAAAATTTTGATATAAAAAGTAAGAGTTTAAGAGTGATTTAAGTTGACCCTCGATAAGCGAAATGAAACTTCTTTTAGGGACAGAGGGAGTACATAGTACGGAGTATATTTTATTTTTCAATCAAAGCGAAATGCAAATTGTTAAATTGGATTATAATGCTTCCTCAGTCCCATTTTGTAAGATATGTTTTCTATTCATTTGGTCAATACAAATCACTTTTAATCTCTTACTTTATATATCAATTTTTTATCAAATTTGATTCTAGTTTTATGACTTTGTAAAACTTTTAATGTGGTTTCTGAATATGTAATTATTTTTAAAAATAATTTGAGTGCGGACATGAATTTATTTACTTTATCGTCGGTCAAACATCGTAAACCGTAAAATGTCTTACAATTCAGGACATTTTACACGCTGATCAAAATGTCTTTGTACACACAATTTGACCAGTGTTTTATTGTGAAGAAAAACTTTTTTCGCACAGATAAAAAAATTGTTTGTGTCTAAAACAAAAAAGTCTGTGGCATAGATTTTTTTTGTCGGTGTGAAAAAACGTCTTCAAAAAATGCCAGTCAATTTGTTTATACATAAACAATTTGATCGACGTGTAAAAATCCGTGTACAAATAGCATTAGTAAATGTTCACATAACTTTGAATTAAATTTAGAGATCGTTTGGTAACACTAACATTGGCCAAATCACATGATTCAACTGAAACTTATGTAGTTTTGGCTAAATTGTCTCATTTACGAAAAAATATATTCCCTCCGTTCCTTATAACTTTGCCAACTTTCATTTTCTGGATGTCCCATTAACTTTGTCACTTTCCATTTCTCTTTTAAGTAAAAAATTTGTGGTTCCAGTTAATTCTCTCTCCTCTGCACAAACCTCAAACACACAGTTTTTACTTTATTAATCCTCGTGTCGGTCAAACTTGGCAAAATAATTAGGGATGGAGGGAGTATTTTAAATATAGTTTATTACTAAAATAAAGACAAATTATATGAAAAAATTGCTACAATAATCTTTTACAAGAACTTCCACCAGTTCAGTGAGAAAGTAGTTCTAACTTACTTATTTTGCACAATTTCAGCGCGCAAAATCAAATATTACGTATTTAATTAAAAAATTGGTTGTAAAGTTTGATTTGATTACACATTCAATTTAATGTTAAAGGTGACCGATTCTGATAGGGGGAAAGAGGACTCCTTTCGACCAGATTAGAGTCACATGAACAAAACGGTTACATCATCCGATCATGAGTTCGTGGGTTCGTATACCGTGGTATCACTCCACGGTGAGCACCGTGCTCCCACACCGTGGTATCATCTGATAGGGGTAGTTTTGCACAATTTTTTTTAAAAAAATTGCGTGAACAGTAACGCGTGTACAGTAACTGCTTTTTTGTCCCTCCCAATAGTATGAATGATGTAACTTGCGTGTAAGGATATGTAACTCACGTTATTGATCGATGTAACTCAAGTCCATTTGAAATGTAACTTATCAAATACATAGTATAAGAAATAAAACATTTATTTCAATGTAAACAATGAAAAAAAGAGTTTAATTGCACAATTACTTTATGTAAACCGTGAATATGTTTGATTTTCAATATCATGACCTAATAAAGGATTTAAAAAATCATTTTTTGTTTGAATACCAGGTTTTTTTTATGCAACTCATGTTATTATATTAGAAATGTAACTCGCGCTTTAACTCGCTTCTAAAAAGATGTAACTCTTGCACATGAAGATGTAACTCGCATATAAAAAGATGTAATATAGATTTCCATCTCTTCTGATTTTAATAACTAAATACTACATCCGTCCCGCTAAGATTGTCTCGTTTTACCTTTCCGGTCCGTCCCACTAAGATTGTCCCATACCAAATTAGGCAAAATTTGTGTGGCTCCAAATTAGGCAAGATTTATCAATTCAATATCAACCACATAACTCACTTTTTATTAGTTTGTGTGCCGCTCTCTCTTGTCTCATTGTTAGCGGGACGGAGGGAGTAATAATTTATGACCTTACTATTCTTTTATACGTAGTAATTAATTATTTCAATCACATGAACTCGATCGAGTAGTGCGTACCTAATAAATAGTACGGAGTATAAAATACATGAATGGCTCTAAATAGGAGTAAACGTTTTTTAAATTCCAAAATATGAGTATCATGTTTTTTATTCCCTTAATAGAAGGAATATGTCAAATTTGAAAAAAAAGTCATGTTTAAAGTCTTGTAATGCCAAACTTGACAAAAATTTACTCCTATTTAGAGAATAAAAAGCATAATACTCCTAATTTGGAATTTTGAAACGTTTTTACTCCTATTTAGGGAACTCTAATATGGAATTTGGTCGACAAAAGCTGAAAAGTTCCAATACCCATTTTCATTTTCCAGGTTCGCCACTCTGCCCTGTATGTAATGAATCTAATGATAATGAGTAAATCACTTCACTAATGAAAAACTTATATTAAAAAAAGCTACAATGATTTTCTACACAAATTAAACAATTCAATCGACTAATTTCGCAATTCAATCAAAAAAAAAATCCAACTTAGTTTTTATTATCAAACAATTCAGTGTACAAAATCAAAATTTACGTCCAGATAAAAAATTGGCTGACAAGCCAAATAAACTAAAAATAGGGGCTACCAAACGGTCTCCTAAACTAGGTCTAATAATGACTCAAGCCTGAATATTCAGATCCTGTTTGGTGCCCCCGTTTTCGGCTTATCAGGCTTATCAGCCAGCTTTTTCACCAAACATGTAACTTTTGATTTCGCGCGCTGAATTTTGTAATAAACAGAAAAAGTAAGGTCGGGGTTACTTTTTTTACTGTATTGGCTGAAATTATTGTAGATGATCATTTCAGCTATTTTCCATATAATTTTTTATTTAATTTATTAATAACAAATATTTTAAATATAATTTTTTCATGAATCAGCAGAATCAGCCAATACAACCACTTCAGCCAGAACTTCATAAATTTCAGCAGAATCAACCAATTCTGCCGATGTTAGTGTTACCAAACGGGCTCTCAATGTTCGAATTTGACTCATCTTGGTAATAATGGTATTCGGGTTAGAGTTCAAAACTCGACGAGGTGTACAATTGAGGCTCAAGTTCGACTTAATAGATACGAAGTATATTTGATGTTTGATTTGAGCTGAGGAAGCGGTCCAACTCAGCTGGTCGTCAACTCACGCTTCCTTACGGGAGGTCTCGGATTCAAAACTGAATGTAGTGAGTTTCAACCTTGAGTAAAAAAAAAGAAGTTTAATTTGAGCGCTAGATATACATTTTCAATTTTTTAAAACCACATTAAATACGTTTAAATTTCAACCTATATAATTAATGTTTCCCGATAACTTATACTCCGTAAGTGTTAGATGTGCGGGAGTTCCAATCAAACCAAACATTACTCTCCTTGAACAACGACTTGAACCAAACTCAACCCGTGTTCGAGTTTGAAGCTTATTAAATTCGAAATCAAGCTCAGACTCACATGATTAAAAAAGACTGGATTCGATAACATAGTTTATTTAAACCCTATAAACATGAAAGTTAAGGAGACTATGAATGTTTTCTATTGGACTGAAATTTGTTGGTCTGATTTGGTCTGTTCTGGTCTGATCTGGTCTTATCTTGTCTGGTAAACGTCTGATCTCTGTGTATTTTTTAACCAAGAAAGTCTGGTCTGGTTTGGAACATCCTAATAGCACTTGAATACTAGGAGCCAAAATATGGAAGTAGTATCTCATTATCTAGCTAATTAAGTCACATTGAATGAACTAATTAATTTCTGATTGCTAGTCAGAAGAGGATATGAACGAGGAAGCTAAGACGAAAGTGTTATGGGCAAATGGGCATGGAAGGGAACAGCTATAAGCAAGGCAGTTCTCAGATGATGATGACCACTCAGTCTTTAACTCTTCTGGTTCACACAATATGGCCGGAAAATCTTCATTCTATACACAGGACTACAGGAGTGAGGCGTGTGTCAGGCAATGGTTGAGATCGAGGTAATTCTATATACTCCGTATTAATTTGTCTCATATAAATTACTACTACTCTACTAGTAGTAAATATCTCGTCTATTCACTCATATTTTTGAATAAAATTGTGTGATTAATGATAACGTGTATGTGTAGGAAACATTAAATAAAGTAAAAGAAATAAGATGAAAAAGTTAGAAATAATGTAAAGAGAATATAGAGAGGTTAGAGCCACTTAGTCCTTAGAGGTATATAATCAGGGGCGGAACCAGGGGGGAGCGAGCCGGTGCTGGCGCCACCCCTTGGTCGGAGTTTTTTTAGTAGTAGTATTAGGTGTTTTGGCCGGCGCCCCTTCATCTTCTTCAGTGAAAGCTGTCCTGCGCCCCTGCTATGGCGAGATCCAGCGAACCAGAAGAATAAGAAAGGCCAACTTGTTTTTTTTAATTAAATCAATAAATCAAACGACACCGTTTGGTTAAGTGCACAGGAACATTTTAAACGCCGTCGTTTTGGCCATACTTTTGAATTTCTGATATGCCTAGCTAAGTAAGTACCTAACGCGTTTGACCCTTTCGTTCCCCCAATTCGCTTTTCTCTTGGCCGTTCCAGTCTTGAGAGTTGAACGCAGACGGCAGAAATTCCGCCGGCCGCCTTCGTCCAAAGTTCCGCAGACCGGTAGACGGCAAAATCTCAGATGGACATGGCTCTTTCCAGGCTTCTAGTTTGAGACTTCAAACTTCCGGCTTCGTCAGACGTTCGCAGATGGCAGATTGGCAGTTAAGTTTGAGAGTTCTTCGGATGTTTCTCCAATCATCCGAAGTATGAATTCTGAAGTTTATTGTTTCTCCAATCTCCAGACTTTGGTATGTAATTTTAATTATAATTGAAATCTATTTTACTTACTTTTATTGGTTATATGCTTTAATTAATTATTTAATTTGAAATTGGAAATTTATTGATTCATTAATCTGTTTGACTTACTTTTATCGGTTATATGCTTTATTTAATTATTTAATTTTAAATTGGAAGTTTATTGATTCATTAGTTCGGCTAGTTTGATTTTTTTTTTTTTGCAAGTTTATTGATTCAATAGTTTAATTGCTTTTTAGTGTTATTGATTAATTGCTTGAATTGGTATACCACATAAAGTAGAAATTGATTGTGCAATTTTTTGATTAATTAGTTTCATTGCTTTAGTTATTTTAAATTTTTGCCAAAATTGAAAATGAGGCAATTTTCCAACATTTTCAACGTATGCAAACATGCTGCACGCAATTGTCTAAATTGGCTTCTTCTTCTAACATTTAATTGTAATGTAATGTACTTTTCTCACAAATTTTATATTCTGTAAACTTTAGTAACAACTTATATTTTTGCATTTTCTAATACTTTTAGCCACCCCTTTAATTTCGTTCTGGTTCCGCCACTGTATATAATTACTTCGTATATGATTGAGCACGTTCCAACTTTTTGAGATAAAGGGTTCGAAAGCTCACAAAAATGAAAAAACAAAGCATAAAAATACATTTTCCTATCTATGAATATAATAAATGAAAATTACTTCGTATTTCCTACGGAGTATAATCTAGCTATCATATCTCCGTAACAGATATATCTTCCCAAACAACCGTAACGTTACGATTAAAAGCCCACTTGGTAATAAAATCTCCTCATTTTCCGGAAACTTATGAAGTTATGATTGAAGTGCTTGGATTAGCTGATTCTGATGATTTATATTTAAAATATATTTTAAAGTATATTTAAAATATATTTGAAATTATGTGTAAATTATTATGTGTAAATTATATTTAAAAATATTTTATTACGGAGTTGAAGGGTATTTTTATTCTCTAACATATATTTTAATGGTATATTTGTATTCTCTGTTTTTACCCCATGGGTCTGAGGGAGGGGGGTTGGGGGTTTGAGTATTGAACACGGGACCTTCTATAAGGAAAAATGAGTCAACGACCAGTTGAGCTGGACCACTTTTTCCTTACATTAACTCATTGATGATAAGAAATATACGTTCTTGAATATTTTGTGTTTTGAACTATTTGAGTACTATCTCTTCCCATTTGACAGTTTTGATTTGAAAATGACACATTTTTAGACAATGGTTAAATAAAACAATTTTGAGTACAGTTTGAAAAGTAGTTTGGTGAGTATCTAACATATAAAATTTTCTTAAACATTACTAAATGGAAGCCAAATTTGAAAAAAAATGAATACTTGGCTTATATCGACAAAAATGTGACTATCACATTAATCAATTTGGAAAATTATGAGTGTCATGTGCTATTGGTCTATTATGTCATTGACGGTTTTTTATGTCAATGTTAGTTTATTACTCCCTCCGTCCCTTAAAGATGTTCCCAGTTTCCTTTTTGGACGTCCCAGAAAGAAGTTACCATTTCCTTAAAAGGAAAGAATATTAACATGGAATACTAATATACTCTTCCCATTTACTCTCCTCATTTACCCAATTACTCTCCCCACTTTCCCCATCATTATCCGGATAACCCATTTACATTCCCCACTCGCCTCCTCTCTCTCTAGAACGTGCCTTCATCTTCTTCTGGTTTCCACGCATGGAATCCTCCACCAACCCTACCCCTTCCATTGATGAACACCCTGTTTCTGTGTCATCTTCGAATTCAGACTCCAAACGGTTAAACCTTTCCGATGGTCATCCACTTGTAACAAACCCTAGCCTCTGTGATTTCGAAAAAAAATCGGTCACCCATTCTAAAGTTATTCGTCCCGTTTGGGTGGACGACGACGAAGAAGGAGACCGTGGATGTGGGTGGACTACATCATCTGAAACAGATCCGGGTTGGAAGCTGCAGAAGTGGTATGGATCCCAGTGTCCTGAGTCTCAAGAATCAGTTGAAGAAGGCGAGGAGGTTAATTCCTTCGACGCCATGTTCCCAGATCCCTATGCGGATGTATTTCGGGACACCCCTTAAGGGAGGTCTCTGTATTCCTTACATATGTGTATTTCGTTTGAATTTGCACATTTGTTACCCCATTTTGTGGTTATTGGCCACTTTATCTGATAAATGATGAATTATTGTGCCATCGCATAACCTGATTGTTGCTCAAATGATGAAATTACCTGATTCTTTCTTACCTTACTGCTACACAAGTCTCTTTGTGTTTTGTGGTTGCCTTCATCCACTTTCTCTAAGTGTAGGAGGCTATGTAAATGAACTGGTGATCCTATTTCTGGGTTGCTTTCAGTTCATATGCCACCCACTTTGACTAAGGGTAGGAGGCTATGTATCTATATTTGTGCTGTTTGCTAATGATGATAGGGCTTACATTACACTGATGTGAGGCACTGCACTTACACTACTTGCCCTTGTCTGCTTACTTTAGTGCTTCTACTGATGATGATAGGGGTTGTGTGGTTACTGAGTGAGTAAACTGATGATGGCCCAGCCTTTGAAGCTAATGTATGTGCATGTGTGTGAGTAAGATTGTGTCATTTGACTTGAATGCATACATGAATGCCATGTACTGGTGATGACTATTCCGCTTGCCTTCATACATATGCCACCCACTTTGATTAAGTGTAGGAGGCTATGTATCTATATTTGTGCTGTTTGCTAATGATGATAAGGCTTACATTACACTGATCTGAGGCACTGCACTTACACTACTTGCCCTTGTCTGCTTACTTTAGTGCTTCTACTGATGATGATGGGGGTTGTGTGGTTACTGAGTGAGTACACTGATGATGACCCGACCTTTGAAGCTAATGTATGTGCATGTGTGTGAGTAAGATTGTGTCAATTGACTTGAATGCATACATGAATGCCATGTACTGGTGATGATTATTCTGCTTGCCTTCAGTACATTTGCCACCCACTTTGACTAAGTGTAGGAGGCTATTTATCCATATTTGTGTTGTTTGCTAATGATGATAGGGCTTACATTACACTGACCTGAGGCATTGCACTTACACTACTTGCCCTTGTCCGCTTACATGAATTGACTTGAATGCATACATGAATGGCATGTGGTTACCATAAGTAACCATGTACTGGTGATGATATTTCTGGTTGCCTTCAGTACATATGCCACCCACTTTGACTAAGTGTAGGAGGCTATGTATCTGTACATATTTCTGGTTACCATTTCACTTGAATACACACATTTCTGCCAATAAACATACAACTATTTGAACAAAAGATACTACACTGCCCCTACATTTTGATATTGTAGGCTAGGCATTCATGGCAGCACATACATCACTTGTACACGTCACCTACATATTTTGTGCTATGTTCCTTTGGTAGTGTATATACAAAAAGTTGTCCCTTACATTTGTTAGGCATTTAAAGAACAATTTAGAGGGAATTTTGAATTTTGGCGTACTGCAGCTTTTTTAGCATTAACCCTCCCTTTTGTTTGGAGGGGTTTCCAAACTTGTAAGCTGGACTCAGTTTCCAGCACTATAGAACCATCAAATCACTTTTAAAAGTTTTTTAGCCCCTTAATTTATTGTTTTTACCACTGCAGCTCCTTTCCCTTTCTTTTTTGTTTTCGGAATAAGCCAGCACGTGGGGATGGGAGGGCAAATAGGGAAAGTCAACAACACTTTTACTTTTTCATAAAAATGTGTGAGGGTCAAACGGGGAACATCTTTACAGGACGGAGGGAGTATGTTATTACCAATTATTGTTGGTGTCACTGCCAATAGTTGTCGGTGCCACTTCCGTTGTGAAATACGTAGTATATCACTTCGATTTTTTTAATGACTTTTCCCGATGAATCTTAAATAGTTATAAATAAAATAAAACTTGACGAACACTTTCTGATGACTGCTCCTGTGGTCAACGGCAGTTTCCGATGATAGTGGGGAAGGCGTGGGCAGTTTGTGGGGGTTAGAAGGAGAGAAAATTTAATTTAATTAAACAAATGTTAATAACGTTTCGCCGTTTCAGAAAATTAAAGGAAAACTAGTCATATTTTTTCATTATATTTATGGTACCTTTTTCGGAATATAATGTTATACTCCCATTAAGGAATTAATTAATTAATTATGTAATACTAATCAATTACCTTTTTCGAAAAAGTAGTAATTGATGATAAAATTTTCATCTAAGGGAGTTAATTATTTTGTAATGTGAAATGAGAATATTGATATGAGACGTAGAAAAGGGGAAAGATAAAATATTGAAACGGGATGATTCTACCAATATCAGAACAGACCAGAAATTTCAGTCCTAGTAAAAACATCTTTAGTTACCCAATATTTGAGAGTATACTTACACATCCAAAGATCAATCATTTCTAAACCTTTTTTTAATACACCTCCGTCCTGAAAAGATTTGTATACGAATTTTTCTTGGTCAATTATGACAAACTTTGGACAATGATTTTAATTATTATATTTGTATATATCTTATAAATTTTATACTGTTATGAAAATAGTTTGAATAGGGTACATTTTAATATTATTTTCATTTAACATAATTTCGTGTTAGAAAATATTATTGGTCAAAATTGAATATCACTTATCAAAAACTTCAATTTGATGAACCTTTTTGGGACAGGAGTATGTAGAAACTACAGTCAATTATAACATAATATTAGGGAGTACGTACTATTGATATGTGATTATGCTATACTATGTGATAATGCTATAGTATAAATTTTAGGATGATGGTGGTAATTTACGAGGAAAGGATCAATTGAGTACATCAATTTGTACCAAGTAGAGTAAAAAGTATACTATATTGCATTTGACATTTATAAGTACATAAACTCGGTTATTTAATATTAATTGAGTACATTTGTTAGATTAACACGTCAATATGCCTGAGTTAACTAACAAAATCCTGAGCAATGGACCAAGTTTATGACGCCAACATTCACAAAATTGACCAAAAAGAAAAAATCGACATTTGGAGGTCGACCTGCATGGGGCATCGGCCGACATGGGTGCATCGACCAAGGGAATATTCACCTGTGGAGGATTGACGTTGATCAAGAGGAAGTCGATCAAGGGGCTGGGGTTGGTGTCAATCTTCAGGAGTCGACTTATTAGCATTCTGATAGCAAACTCATCCACATTAACATGTTAATCTAATAGGTGTATTCAATATAGTGTACTCTTTACTCCATTTCATACAAGTATATGTACTAAATTGACCCTTACCTCGGTAATTTACATATTTAGAGAAATAATAACTTTCATACTTTATAATTTCACACTACTTTTATCTCTATTTTAGAAAAATTTCCTTTGAAATAACAAACGAAAGGATATGAAGTTTTTGATGGATAATGGTTATGAAGAAAGGCTAGACGTACCCTTAATTAATACAACAAATAAAAACAAACAGGGAGCACATAATTTAGAAAATGGCTTAAACACGCCTATAATTTATCCATGGCTATCAAGGAAATTAAGAGCAGCCAATAACCACAAATTTCTAAGCGTAACTAGGAGGGCATTCCTTCACTCTTTAGAGCCTTGCAGCGCTTCGAAGTTTCCCACACCGGTAGTTTCGAATGTAAAAGGAGTAAATAAAACCAGGAAGCTGAGAATCATGGTCACGACCTTACTTGAACAGGATCTGTTCTATAGGATCGTACCTCTGAATCCTTGAATTATAAGGAGACCAGAAACCAAACCTGGTTGATGACTGAAGGCCTGGGGGTTAGAGCGTGATTAGCAGCTCCGGTTCAGCTATGAGTCGAGCAGTGGATGATCGTTCTCAGTCGCACGCGGCTGGGGTGACCTCTGGGCTGTCTGACAGGTTCCAAATCTTTTTTGGTTTGGTGGATTCTTCTTCTTCTTCTGTTCGTGAGTTTGCTTTGGTTGCTAGTCTCTTCATCTCAGTTCACTAAGCTTCGGATTTTCTTCTACCTCTCGATGGGGATTCAAATCCAACGAAGTTCTGCACCAAAACATAGGTAAATTGAATCTGAGCTATATTTTTTCTTAAATAAATTAACAATTAATGATAAAGTTTCCATGAATTGTGCTTTTGATGTATTTTTCAGTTTTTACCAATTTAAAGTATCGATGCTCTTTTCTCACAATTTCCATTTAATCCATCTGATCTAATCCATTCGTTATTAGTTTCATTGCACTCCTCTTGCAGGAGCTATGGTCATTAATTGCGTGAATGTTATATGTGAAGAAGTATGTTGATATGGCAACTATGTTGTTCCAGCAGCACCACAAATTTTATCTGTACACGTCCTGGGGCATATATTAATGGATGACACTGTTAAGATGGTTAAGCAGCAAAATTAAGTGTCACACGTTCCAAGTGAAACCGTGTTCTTAGAGTGTTGTGAATCACTTGTGATTAGATTCCATGTTAGAATTCTTATTTCTGAATTTGAAATAAAAGTTATATATATGAATTATAATCCTCAATAGGGTTAAAGTTCTTAGATATACTTTCAACCAAAGCTCTTAATTTTTATATTGACAACTTCACTCAATATAGTAGCATCAACTCATTGTTGTTGTCACAATCACTGCAGACATTTTAAAGGTTCTCTCAATTATTTTATTGATTTATGTATCTTTTGCTCCAAGTAGAAGTGCTCTTTCTTTTGAGTGATGCTTACTTAATCTTTTGTGCTTCAGGGAGTTATTGTGCTTACGTGAGTCATGAGAGACCTGTAACTTGATTACTCTTTGTGAATATAAAATCTAACTCTTTAGTGTTTGCTATTAAACCTTGGAAGAGGAATGAGAGACAAGTATATCACAATACAATGACAGTTAAACTCTATTTGAGTTGAATGATATTTAGAAGTGGCAATCAGCCTTATTAAAGGATGCAAAGCTAAAATAGGATTTTCACTCGAATTCCCCTAAAATGATAGGCATGACTCTGATGATGTTTGAGATAAATAACAACATAAAAGTGAATTAACCTGATACGGCCAACCAGAGGAAGCTTAGTCACGGATGTTTGTGAAAATCTTTGGTTAGTATGGCACTTTAGTTGCTTCTTTTTTGTTCCTTGCTTTCAAATATGATTAATTTTTCCTCCAGGCTAGATATTTGTTGTATGCACTTTGTTTGATTTCTTTGGTTGTTGATTTATATACTTATTAATATGATCAGATTTTCATCTAGGATTAGTGTCTCTTAGATTTCAGATTAAAAAATTAGGTCAGTGTGCTAAAGATGAAAAGTGGTCAAATTACCTTAGTACTGCATTTCATGTGTTTAGCATTCTACCTTATATTTGCATTTAATAAATCTTATTAAATGTCTATACTATGTATCAATTTTCTCGCTAGGTAGCAGGTACTCCTCTGTTTTTAGTTTATACAAATTAGATTTGATTTCATTTTAGGTTTTCTTACATCCAAAACTGAGTGTTACATTCTCATAAAGATTTTATATTCACTTGAAGGATTTTTCTTTAGATTTGAATTGCAATTGAGTTAGTAAATTAGGCATAGATAAATAACAGAAAATTTGAAAGATTAGAAAAGAAGCAGGAAATTTGAAGGAAGCAAGTAAATTAGGCAAAGATCGGGGAAATTTTAGGTTCCAATTAGTCATTTGTTTAGAAAATGTAATATTGAGTAGTGTGAATAAGGTAGATTTAACATACTAAATGAGAAGAAATCAAGTAAATTCAAACATAAATTCGGAGTCTTTGATGTAATTTAATGAAACTTTCCAGATAGGTTTCCAGCTAATCTGATGTAAAAAAACGGGGTATATTTTATAATTAATGTTAAATACTCCCTACATCGGTTCATTAAGGCTTGCGCAGATAAACCCTGCAACGTCCATCACCAACAACTTGTCCTACGTATGCCTTCTTTTTCTCAAGGTGATCGTGTTAACAATTTTTAATTTTAATCCAGAATTTGTTTAGTTTACATTTTTATTTATTTGTTTTCAAATGGTATTTCTTTAATCATTTTTTGGTCAATTTTTTCAATGTTTGTTAAGTGTAGCTAATTATAAAGTGCTTGATAAAATGTTGGGAAGCTCTTCGGTGCTTTCACTCTGTGGGATGTTTTGGTGCACCGTACATCTGGCTAAATTTGATTGGAAATATATTCCACGTCAGCCACTTCATTAAAAAATTGCTTAGTAAACCCCGCACTATCCAGGGTGCAGTAATCGTCCTCCCTATCATTAGAAATCCGACCGAAAGTCCTCCGGCGGCGGTGTATATTCTCCTTCACCAATCTAACTATCCGCAACTCATTTAATAGATTGCGAGGCAGAGCTTGCGACATCGACCTCAATCTATTCAGTCTATTGAATGAGGAAGACGACTATCTGCTTTCATCATCCGAGTGGACGACTCCTTGCCCAGATTTTTTTGTATAAGGAAATTGATAGATTTCATATTTTCAGGTATCATCCCTTCTCTTTGTGTTTTTTCACTTCACATTTATACATACTACTTACTAGAATTTCTTCTATAAAAATCCATTAATTTATACTGTGCATGTTTTCTTTTCACTCTACAGAAATAAAAGTTGAATTAGAAAGAAGATGTTGTAAATGTTTAATGAGAAAGCTTATCACTCCACGTATCCACCTCAATTACTCTCATTCGGATTGTTGACAGCTTCATCCTTTTTGCAATTTCCTCATGTAGTGAATAAAGCAAAGTTTCATAGCGATCTGTTATATCAAAATCTTTTAAGAGTTGTTGTTACATGATCATCTCTTATCTAATAAAAGACTCTATTATGTTTCTTAGAGTAGGAGCACCAGAGTCTTGTCAAAACATCATATATTCTTAAAGTGGCTAACAGTAGGTCCTCTTGTTTACAACCAATATTTGGGATCAATGTGTTCACTTATGATAATTATGTTATATTCTTCGTTTCTTCCTATCATTGTTAAAACATGCAATGATAGAGAACAAATTAAAGTGATGAATTAGAAGAATAAAAAACCGGTGAAGAGATTGTGGATGCAAAAGCATTTTGTTAAGTTGTTGATGAAGTAGGAGTGAATTGTCTAGGTGAAACAGAAGTTCTTACTGATAGAGTTGTTGAAGACCAGAGGGGGGGAGAAGAACAATGTGACGGTTTCTGTTGAGGGATTAGGTTTGAAAGAATGGGTTTGAAGGATTGGAGAAACCATATGATTTGTGACCCATATAGCAACCTGGTGGTGCAACAGGTGGTGCAAATTCTACCTCACCTGGAGTGGACACTGCATAGTCATCCTGCAAAGCAAGGAGATTGCGGGATTGGAGATGCAATGACTTGACAGCTTGATGTTGGAGCTTTATGTAGTGATCTATAATCTTACCAGGATCTCAGAAGCAAACTAGCAAAGCGCATTTTGTTTTCCTATATTGTTGCTACAAAAATATACTCCGTATGTTATTACTAGAAAAGGAGGTGTGGTTACTGAATTGTCACCATGGTATTACTACATGCTGGAAATAGACACCATGGTATATCCTTTTTGTAATGTCTCCCAAGTCCCAATAAATTTTTGTTTTGTTTTGTTTTGCTATTTTTAAAAAGTTGTCTACACCTGCAACTTCCTTTTCTTTGTTAGTTCCTATCAGTTATCTTTTATGGGCAAGAAAGATAGGCCACCATGATATATCCTTTTTGTAATGCCTCCCACGTCCAAATAAATTTTTGTTTTGTTTTGTTTTGTTTTGCTTTGTTATTTTTAAAAAGCACTCTACACCTGCAACTTCTGTTGCTTTGCTAGTTCCTATGGGTTATCTTCTATGGGCAAGAAAGATAGGCCACCAAAAGGTGGTCTTTCTTCCTTGAACAAAGAATAAAGGACACACTGTCTTCAATGGGAATCACTATATATCTTTATCTGAAAATTTTAAGTTCAGATGGTCTTTTTATATTTGAATCTTTATATCTGATTTTTTTGAATTTATATAAATTGTTAAGCTCTATTTTGGTCTGATTTGGATCTTTTAACTTGATTTAATTGAATCTTTTGTTTCCTTAGTTCTGAAAGGGTTAAACCTATGGAAAAGCTTAATGGTTTGACAACACCAATGCAGCTTCTTCAGAAATTGTTCTCTGTGGACCAGCAAGTTGCTTCCTGGTTAAACAACTTTGGTGCATGAGTTTTTTTATGAATCCCAGTTCATGTTCAGTATGTTTAGGCTCTGTTCCCCTTATATATTTCATTGTTCCAACAAATTATGCAGAACTGTTCGCCACAAATCTGACATGCCAATCATATATGCAAGTGAGGCTTTCTAATGAATGACAAGTGCATATAAAGTTGCAACTTTTCTCAAATGGTTGTTTAAATAAGCTTGAGGGTTTGATTACGATCTACATATTTTCAAGCAAATTTCATTTGTAAGTCTATTTTGTCCTTATAGTCCTTGTGCAAAACCAGTTTGATCATTTGATGCATATGTAACTGCAGATTGAACCTAAAGAATATTTAATTTATTTATCTACGCACTATTTGATATTTTATTTATGGTAGATACTGTTTTATTGTTCTAAGGGGTACTTTTCTATCTTGGCACTGTACTAATCCAACACATCTAATTTGTGCTACAACAGCAGCTTCCCAACCCCCAATCCGCCCCACAGGTATCTAAAAATGCAAAGTGAAGCCTTGGATGTGTCTCTAACTCGTTGGATATTTTGCATTATGTTTCCTGATCCTTAATTGCCATTTTTTATTTTTATTAAAAAAATATTGTGATTTTGAACTTGTGAGCTGAGGTTTATAAAACCTTAGTCCTATGTTGGTGCACACTCAGAGAGGGACCAAGTTGGTGCACACTCACATGAAGCATATGATAGTTATGAACTTGACTTGGATAACATGCTATCATCTATCATAACATGATTAAATGGAGGGAGATGACGACGACATGGATGATACTAAGCATGCCCTTCAGTTATGTGATGTGTTGGTCCAACCAAATGATGAAGATGAAATGGTGGGTGGACAATGGAACCACATGAAGAACACTTTTGTATTTTGCTATTGAACATGCCCTTCAATTATGTATGAATGACCATGGGATTTAATGTATGTATTATTCTTTTTTAGTACTTTGTGTAAGGTTTTCTAGAAACAGTGGGCAGTATTTTTGCTAGAAACGAGTTTTTGGCTACACTGAATGTATTCTGACCTAGTTTGGTATATATAAGATGTCACTTTATCATATGGGGTCAGATGTGAGTGAGATTATATGTCATATGGCGGCACTGAATGTTTTTTTACCTAGGTATATATTCAAGTCATTTATGAAGTTCATATGTGAGTGAGTGATGTGTATTTGTTCACATGGTTGCACCAAATGTATTTTGATTGAGTTATATATATAGATATATGTCAATTCTGAAGTTCATATTTAAGTGAATGATGTGTATTTATTGATATGCCTGGGTTTCTAACTATTAAATCAGCTCCAAATGTATCATTTTCACCCTCCTCTCAATGCTGCTGGTATATGAGGCCATTGTCAAAACCATATTGTACTCTAACGCATCCATGAATGCCATACTCATCCCTATATTTCCATAGGTTGGCTCTATTAATGTTGTCTTCCCGAGTGAAACCAGACCTTTCTTTTCTTTTCTGCAATAATTTCCATTGTAACCGATCCTTCATGCCGGAAGTAGGCTACATCATCTCTTGTTTTAAGCAGTACACCCTTTTGTAGCTTTATTGAGACAAATCATGGACGTCCTCCCAATCAACTAAGAGACTTCCTGCTTGATGTTAGTGGCAGGGAAATCTGCCTTAACATCTGAGCAAAAGAGTGGTCTAGGGATTGTTAGCCAGCGGTGAACAATCTAGTGAAGATCATTTCGATCTTGTGTGTGTGTGTCTAAACCAGTAAGTTAATATTAAAACTCGATTTTGTAAAATTGGGAAGGAGCTGATATGTATGAAATTGGAATTTCAGAAAGAAGTATTTTTTTCTTCTATTGAACCAAAGCCTACAGTGTGTGTGTGTGTGTGTGTGTACATGGTAGCATCCAGAAGAAAAGATCTTAAAACATTTCTAACATATAACTAATGAGGGGAATAATATATGTATTCCATAAATAAGAATATACTATTATAATACGGAGATACCATAATAGTATATAGCTATGTAGCACCGATACCGGTACGCGGAAACGCGGAAACGCGGAAACGGGTACGGGGATACGTCAAAACCAAAAAAGGTAGGATACGGATACGGGGCCATAATTATAAATATTAAAAGTTATGGGTGTGTATTTACAAATACTAAAAGTTATAGGGGTCTATTTATAAATATTAAAAATAGATTTTTTTAATATATATATATATGTATATATATATATACCCCGATAGTATATATATATATATATATATATATATATATATATATATATATATATATACACATATATACATATAATATCCTATGATGTCTACCTATTCATTGCTTTGAAGCATTTTCCTTTTTCAAGATACTTAGTAATAAATTCATAATATTTCTCATATACACTAGTCATCTCGAAATATAAATATAGTCAATAAGTCATTAATTTAAAATGAGAAATAAGTCAAACAACTACAATCTTGAAATTAAAAGTGCAAGTATCCAATTCGGAGTATGAGTTAATGACTTAATTCGGATATAGCCATATAGGCCCATTATTTGATTACCAAGTAAAATGTAGTTTTAGATTTTTATTTTTTTAGAGTTTTATTAAGTAAATTTTGGTTTTTTTTTTATGGACACATTACACTATAAATCACTTAAGTACTAGTAACTTATCCATATTAGTATTATGGACTGAAATGAGCTGGTTCTAGATGGACACATTACACTATAAATCACTTAAGTACTAGTAACTTATCCATATTAGTATTATGGACTGAAATGAGCTGATTCTAGATGGACGCATTACACTATAAATCACTTAAGGACTTATGAACAAATGAAAATGCATTGTTTCTATATGAAGGTAATTCAGCAGGTATTAATGTTGAATATCCAGATTAATGTTTGTAAGTAAATGCTTGAAATGATTTTCTTCAGAGTTTTGGCGGTTTCAGCAGCTGAATTGAAACACACACTTTTCATAAACTAGTGCCAACTACTTTCTCAAAAATACATATCATACAAAACAATATATACTTGTTACATTCCATCAGTACTTTGGAAATAGGAAGACTAGAGCTGTCACACTCTATTAGTATACAACACACAACTAAACTACTAATACAACAATGGTATTACAGATTTTTTCCAATGACATACACTTCACGCACTTTCTTTCACAGGTGCTTCTCTTTTGTTTCGCTCTCAACCAGTAATTAAATGGCATCCACTCTCGCTTGCAGTAGACAGACGTGCTTTCAAACCGCACCTACGCTCTCAACCAGTAATTTAATGCACTGACCAGTTGTAGTTCTGGTTTTGGACTACTCCTTGAGTTAAAATCTATATTAAACATACATTAAACATAAAAGTTAAATATATATTAAACTACTCCTTGAGTTAAAACTTATATAATACATAAAAGTACATGAGTTTAATAAATGATATATTAAACCCGCTTATAAGAGTACTAATGGCAGAAGAGTGACAAAGGAGTGCCGGAAAAGATGATGACTTTCTTTCCTTTTTAGGTGGAATAAAAATGCATAACATCACAAAAATGAAATGGGGTGTTGTATTATAATATTATGAGTATTGTAGTTTTAGAAGTTGATAGTGGAAATCCATGTAATTTGAAAAAAAAGTGATAATGTGACTTTGTGATGTGAAGTAAATATGAAGAGAGAATGAGGTTGTTATTCAGTTAAAGGACATTGCCATAGTTTTAGCAAATGAATATAAGAAATGTAGAAAAATGAACTGGAAGTATGCTAATGAGTGCGCGGTTACAGGATGTGGAACAATATGGCAAGTGTTTAGGAAGGAAAAGTTAAAATATTCACAACAAAAGGGTGACACGTGTGATGTAGGGACATGTATCATGAGAATCTATTTTTCAAAAGTGTACATATACCACCTGAAACATTACTCAAATGAATATTACTCCGTAGTAACTAACAAGTACCACCTGAAGGATTTAATACAGATTAAAGGTAAAATTAACATCTCAATAAATATATAAAGCACCTCAGTTGCTTTCCTAATTAACATCTCATAAAATCATTTGTAGGTGCTTCCCTAATTAACATCTCAATAAATATATACTAAATTCATAATTCGTAAAAGACAAGCATAAATTGATAAGCTAAAATTAAACAGATGCCTCATGAAACAATCATAGCTCTTCAGTTTGGGAAATTCAACAAGCTGATAATGAGAGCCATCACAATTTAAGATATGGAAAAGAAACCAATCCTACTTTCGAGTCATTAAAAAATCAATACTTAGTTCAATTAAATTGACACAAAACCAGTGGACAATAAAAATGCATCCAAAATCAGGGATAATAAACTAAACAAGCAAATAAGATTAAAAGTAATGAAAATTGAACAAATTAGAGATGATGAAACTCACCTAGATCTGTTGCAAAGTGATTGAACCACGAAGTGTCTGTGCGACCTTGACGATGGGAATACCGGGGATAAAAGGAAACGGAAAACCTGGTTGGAGGATTGAAGATCCTTTCGTTTCCGTAGCCCTAGTTTCTTTGATTTCGTTAAATCAAATCTGAAGACCTCGAGGACGCTGCACGCTGGCCGGGTGAAGCTTACATTAGATCAGATTGTTCTTCTTCTAGGGATAGATGAGGCTTCAGGCCACCGATGGTTTCTGGTTCATTACCGAGTTCATGTTATTATGAACAGGGACTGGTATGCAATTTTAGAAACATTTTTAGGTTATATCTTACGTTGGATTAAATAGCCAGTAGATTTGTGCCGGGTGGCAAACGCATCAAAACATTCCGTAATGCAAAGGCACGATAAAATTTTCCTTAATTAAAAAATTGAGCTGGATTGTATTACCAATGACATGTTGCCACCTGTTGAATGCACCAAAACATTCATTAACGTGTATGTACCATAAAATTTTCCTAAAATGTTTGGTAGAGAATAGAAACCATAATATACTCAAAATATGGCTAACTGGGTTCTATTTTAACCAATTGGAGTAGTATATGTTGTCAATCTTCCTTTTTATTTCAGTCATCCAAGAAGCAGGTTGTATTTTTTGTCTTTTTGATACAGAGAGTTTGCATTTAGGTTTAGGAAAAGATTATACATTCTGGATAAATGTATAGAAGATTGAATAATATAAGTATATAACTAAAGCATATATGATTTGCCTATTTGAGGGCATATTAGTTGTTGCTTACATTTTACTAAATTCTGAATACTCCCTCTTATTTCGCAGTAGGTTGATGGGATTAAGAAAGATCACTGAGTTCAAACTTATTTATATAGAGACGGTGGCAATTGGGTTCTACTTGTTGCCGAATAATAACCAATTTTGACACTTCCATGGATGAGATCATGAGAATAGTCACTTTGTGAGTTTTACATTCTGACTGTTAAAGCTGTCCATAAGTTGAAAGTTTTGGATTTTAAAGATTGTCTTCCTGTCTCTAATTTCAATTCAAATCCATTTACAAGTCATGTGAGTTGCTTAGCTTATTCTGCACCTGGAAGGGCCCATTGGGTTATTCTATTGCCAAGTGGTCTTGCTATGCCTAAATGGTATAAGTTACTTTTATTGGGGATATCTGCTTTTTTGTTGTGCTATGTATGTGTGTAATGCAACAAGTCATATAACTTTTATAAGAACAGTTTAGCTTACCGTCCAACTTCAGCACCCTTGCTAATATTATGTGCCTACTAGCCTAATTATGCTAGCTAAGTGCAATTAATGTATGGGAAACCTCAACAAATTAGTTATAAATGATACGAATATATAATTAGAAATGTAATGTATCATGTTTTCAACTTAACATTTTGTCCACCTACTTATGTATTTATTTGAGCAATGCAACAGATCATACACTTGACTCATGATAATCTTACAAATAACTTTTTTGGGAATGCATGTGAAACTCAGGGGGGCTGCTGTAATGTATAATCGGAAATCTTAATGATATGATCTGCAAAAATTACTAGATGCAGCCATGTAGGACATGTACAATCTGACTGGTTTTTTTAGTCTAAACTAGTTCATTCTAGTCTTGTTTGAAGTCTGAACCATGTTTTGTTGTTTGGTAACGTTTTTTTTTGTCATGATTTATTATATCAGGTATATGTATGTATAGTGGACTGAGTTATAAACCTATCATATGTGATGCAAGTGTGAGGTATATATTCTCTTGAACTATTTTGATTTAAATCAGAAGGTTATATTATTTGCTAGTTTGTTTTCATTCATAATGCTGAGATGTT